GCAGAAGCGAGCCCGTCGAAAAGGATACATCCAGCGGGGAGGATCAATGACTGTTCAGCAAGGGCAGGAGTCTATTCAGAACGAGGTAGTTGCGGAGCAATTGCAGAATAATGCTGAGAATATTGATTCAGCATTACTAATTGAGCAGCCAAAACGTGCTCGTACAAAAGCACCAAGCAGGTGTAGTAGATGTGGTTCATTTGAGCATAACTGTAGAACCTGTACTTTGTAATACTGGTGTCGTTATTAGTATAGCTATAATATTGTAATTGCAATAAGTCGTCAAAGGCACATTGGACGGAAACTTGACCGGCTCGGTAGTGTGACCGGCTCGGTAGTAGGGTACGTTAACCATACTGGACTGTATTACATAATCAGACTGAGCTTTGCCTTCTCCGGCACTCCGATGAAAGTTCTAACCCTAGCTCTAGCATTGCGTATTGTATAGTATCCTGTATGGTACCATGCATAGTATCATGTATAGTATCCTGTAGTTCTGGAGATCGTGGACCATCTACAGAAGGCCGTATCGAACACTTTTCCAATCTCTTCCGGAGAGATGACCATACACCTGGGCGGGATACAGCCGCAACCTTGAACCTTGCCGTGATGAGTGAGTGACTCGTGATGGATTGTTGAAGATGATGAGAACAACAGTGATCAGTGACCATCTCCAGTACTGTAAAGCTACGGTATATGAGGGATATCACATAACAGAACAGGCGTGGAGGAGTGAAGTCATCGCATACCAGACCACCTCGGGCGGTCACGGCCAAACACTCTGCTGAGCGATCGTGGAAGACTTGGTATATGTATGTACATACATGATGTAGAACGTGACACTGATACATATATCTACCTACACCTCTGCCTACACCTCTACCTCTACCTATAGACACGTATATTATATATTATACATTATATATAGCATGCGACTGTTCCGCCGTTCATCATCATTGGACATCCTGCAACCGAGTGCTTAGGGTTATGTGATTAGGGTTGTGTGCTTCCTCTCCCGAAACCGTTTTCACAGCGACGCGATTCAATTTCCCTTGTCTTTGCAAGGATCTCATCTGATCAATTCCGACACAACGTCTCTCATACATATGCAGTGGATATCTAGGTATTCAGGGGAAGGGAGGACGTCCATGTCACTCGCCATTATTCGGAGGATCCTCCGCTAGGCCCTTTGACGGCTTTGACTTTGTGCTTGATTCGTCTCGTGAGTTCTCGGGACATATATACATGTAGGTACCCAAGGACATCTCCATCTGGGAGGCAGGAAGGTATTCACCGAGTCAACCCGTCTCGTCGTCTGATTTGACCCGACTGGCGACGCTGGTCATGACTTAAACGCCTTTATACTGTATACAGTGCAGCATCACAGACTGCCCGGTGTATTCATTGCGGAACCCCGTCACCCCGCCAAAATTCCCCGGCCGTCATGATAAACACCGCCATCTAATGAACGATCGTCCCGCGCTTCCTTATCGTATTGACGTATGGCATAGTCTATCCGTAACACTTCGTTCACTCTGATCAAGGTACTGATACTACGTGTATAACACGTATATAAGAAATACCTAGGTAGTCTTGCAATACCTCCACCTGGGAGGTTTTCTCGGCCTCGTCCTGACCAAGTTGTTCTCCTTCACCGCAGTCCGATAGCTACAGCCAGCCATACATCCCTCAATCTACCACACCACAAGGGCACGCTTCTCCCGGCATTCCCCAGAGATCACCACACTATTGCTTGAATCATCCAGGGAGAGATTCATTCATATTCAAGATCTATCGACAAGATGGACACCCTACTGTGAGTGAGCCCTGTCAACCGCCCTCCCAGATCCATACTGACCAACATCGTCATCATATAGGACGGCAGATGTTGCCAGCATGTCTCCCAACTTCCGCCGGAGATCGAGCATCTACGTCGATGCCATTCATGATCTCCCCGCCCGAGAGTCCATGGCACCGGCCCAGCTCTACTCCACGGAATCCGGTCGGCTCTTTCACTCCGGCCGCATAGTCATCGCGACCTGCGGCTTACCAGCTCGGGGCAAGACTCACATCAGCGTCGCGTTGGCACGATACCTGCGCTGGTTGGGCGTCAAGACCCACATCTTTCACCTCGGCGACTATCGACGCAGCGTCGTCGGTCCCGGCAAAGAGGTCCCGGAGGACTATTTCCATGTCAACGCCCAGCCGTCTTCGGTAGTGCTTCGGAACAAGATCCTCAAGAAGTGCCGCGAGGACATACTTCACTTTCTGCACCACGAGAACGGACAGATCGCCATCTATGACGCGGTGAACCCCCTGGCGTCGGGCCGCCGTGCCCTGGCGCAGGAGTTCGAGAAGCAGAACGTCCAGACCCTGTTCATCGAGAGCTCCTGCACGGACGAGAAGATCATCGAGGAGAACGTCCGGTCCGTCAAGATCAGCTCGCCGGACTACGTCGGCTGGGCCCCCGAGGCCGCGGTCAAGGACTACCTCGACCGCATCAACGCGCGGATCCCCCAGTTCGAGACGATGGAGGAGAGCGAGCTCCACTACGTCAAGATGATCAACGCCGGCCAGCGGGTCGTGGTCAACAACTGCGCCTTCGGCTACCTCTCCCAGCGGATCGTCTTCTACCTCCTCAACCTGCACATCAAGAGCCGGCAGACGTACTTCTGCCGCGCCGGCGTGACCGCCGACGAGGACAGCTACAGGGCCGACGCGGGGCTCAGCGACGAGGGCCGCCGCTACGCCGAGCGGATGACGGAGGCGATCCTCGCCCACCGCGAGTCGGAGCGGAAGCAGCGCATCGACGCCGGGGCCTCCGAGTCGACGGCGCTGAAGCCGCTGACGGTCTGGACGTCGACCCGGCGCCGCGGCGTCGAGACCGCCGACCCGCTCGACCGGGCCGGCTACCGCATCCGGCAGCGCAGCCAGATGAGCCAGCTCAACCCGGGCGTGTGCGAGAAGATGAGCGAGGAGACCCTCCGACAGGTCTACCCCCAGGAAGTGGCGAAACACGAGATCGACCCCTACCACCACCGGTACCCCCGAGCAGAGGTGAGTGAGTTTGTCAACTTTATTCCGCCAAGGAAAAAAAACCCCTTCACCCCATCATCCCCCTGAGAAGAAGAAGAAGAAGAAGTAATGGGAGATTGATCAACATGCTAACCTCCATCGGAACAGTCCTACCACGACCTGGCCGTGCGGCTGGAGCCGATCATCCTGGAGCTGGAGCGGGAGCAGAACGACCTGCTGATCATCGCGCACGAGTCGGTGCTGCGCGTGCTGTACGGGTACCTGCTCGCCTGCTCGGCCGACGAGATCCCGACCCTGGACTTCCCCCGCGACGAGATCATCGAGATCATCCCGGCCTCGTACAACAACCGCGCCAAGCGCATCCACATCGACCGCGTCCCCGAGGCCATCATCCCCGACCGCCCGCAGCGCGCCTTCTCCGGCTTGGCCGTGGGCGAGGCCGCTCGGGCTGATGATGATGATGGGGCGGAGGCTGATGGTGGTGGTGGTGGGGTTTGAGGAGGGAGAAGAGAAAGACGACGACGACGAACGGAGGGCGCGGGATCGAGAGAAAGCAGTATGGGGGGAGGTTTGATCGGAGCGGAGTGGGAGTTTGTCGGGGGAAATGAGACATATGTCATCCGCACTGCACACACCTGCTGCGTACCTTAGCTTCGATGGTGATTATGAAAATAAAAACCGAAACCGAACCATGCTCAGGAGAAACGAAAAACACCACCCAGGTCAGGTGAGGTCAGGTCAGGTCAGGGGGCGATTGCCTCGGTCACGGGTCTGAACCGATGATGATGATGGCAGGAGTCGTTGTTGCACCTCTGGCGTACACACACACACATAGGGGGGGGAGAGAGAGAGAGAGAGAGAGAGCGTTTCAAGTCGTGATAAAATTTCCATCAGAGGTCCATCATGGACGAAGGAAGGGTATATCGATCGCGAGGTCTTCTTCGCGCCTCCCGTGGTCCTACCGGATCTCCGTCCCGGATTGGTTCCCCCTTGCTGTCTGTCTGTCTGTCTGTCTGTCCCTCTGTCCGCCGCCGCCGCCGCCGCTACTCCTCCCGAAGACGATGGTGATGTGTCACGGCGGCATCTTTCGCGCATATCGCCCGCCGCCGCAACAGAAACAACAGGAACAACAATGGTGGAAGAAAAAAATCCCCCTCCCACCCGCTTTCTCACCGCTCGTCTTCGTCGCCGAGGGGGCTGTTCAGCGTGTAGTCGAGGAGGTCGCTGAGCGAGAGCACGCCCTGGAGCTTCTTGGCGTCGTCGATGATGACGAGGCGGTGCACGCGGGACTTGCGGATCGTCTCGAAGATGGTGTGCAGGCGGTCGTTGGGCGTGCAGGTGTAGATGCCCGGGAAATCCTGGAGATGTGCCGCGTCAGTGATTTGAAATCGGGAGGTGCGGCGGGAGGAGGGGGAGGGAAAAGGAGGAATGGGTGGGTGGGAAGGGAAACTTTTCCGGCAGTGGGACGCACCTCGGGTCGTTGGTTGAGCGCCATGCCGACGCTGATGGTCAGGCTGTCGTAGTCCCCGCCCTTGATCAGGGCGATGACATCCACGGCCTCGAAGACGTTGAGCACGGTTCCCTCGTGGTCCAGGATGGGCACGCACGAGATGCTCCGCTGGACCAGCTGGTGGATGACGTCGATGACCGGCGTGTCCATCGAGCAGGTCACCAGGTTCTCGTAGGTGCCGATGTTCAGCTCCCGCAGCGGTTTCTTGAGCATCTGCGTCTGGGGCACGTTGATGGTCATGAATTTCAGGATGCGGTATTGGGTGATGACGCTGATGACCATCTCCCTTTTCGTCTCGTCGTCGACGTCGACCAGGGGGATCCGGCGGGCACGGGAGGCGAGCATGCGCCGGCATGCTTCGTAGAGGGAGGTGAGGGGATGCGTCGAGACGGTCTCGATGGGGGAGACCCCGATGGCGCGCTCGATGTCACGCAGCTTGTCGAGGCGGAATTGGTCGATCTGAGGCAGCAGGTCGGGGAACTGCCAGTAGTACTGCACGACGTTGAGGTAATCGGATGCCGTGAGCATGCCGGCGAAGGTTGAAGTCTTCGCATCCCACAACGGGGCAGACACGATCGCTGACGGGTCGGAGATCAGTAGGGTCCCCGGTGAGGATCGACGAGTCGCTCGATCGCGAGAGAATGATGCTTACCACATTGTGTGAGTGCGCTCAGACTCTTCTTCACCAGCAACGAGGTGTCGAAGACAATGAGGCGGTAGCTCAGCGGCAAGACATCGTAGGCCGTCCGTTTCTTCAGGAAGGCTCGGATCGCACGCTGTGAGGAGGAGGAAAAGCGTCAGCACAGTTCACCGACATTGCTGGCATGGAATCGGTTCGAGGTGGGTTGGGAAAAACGAAGTCGGGATGGCGTTGGCAGACCGGGACGAACCACTTACCAAGCCTTCAATCTGTTCCCGATCCGTCGCCGTCATGTGTTGACTGTCGGTGGAATTATACGAGTCCTCTCGGGACACGGCCCGGACAGGTGGACGCAACGGTGGACGAAGATAGTGGGACGGAGCGACAAAGTGCGCGAGCGGCGTGGCGGTGCCGACATGTGAGGTGGGCGAGATGGGAGGTGAAGAAGGAGGCGGTCGCGTTTCCGAAGAACCAGGCACGCCGGATCTGCCGCTCCCAGCAGTGGCGGTCGAAGGTGCGAGGGCTTGGCCGCGAGCGAAATCGCTCTCGTGACTATTTGCCGGTCGGGGTGGTGGTGTTGCGGCAGCGCCTGATCCAGCGGCCGCTCCTGGAGACGGCGACGCTGACGAGTGGGGTAGATTGGACGAATGAGTCCGTCGGTGGGATTGTTGGGCACGCGTGTGAAGTCCCGCCGCGACTGGCGATGTGTCTTGGTAGGAGGATGCCTGTTGTCGAGGAGGATATGTTCCAGCGGTCCCGTCTGCGTCTTTTGCTGCTCCTGCCTTCACACTGCCACTGCCACTGCCACTGCCACCGCCACTGCCGCCCTCCCTTCTGCCGTCCCCTGCTGCTCCATCTTCTTTCAATTGACCGGTCGGTGCAGGTGGTTCGCCAGCATTGTTGGGCCTGCCATAGGCCGCTTCATCCGACATCTGGCGCAGCAGTTATGTCAGGATGGAATGGCATTGAAGCCAGCCCCAGTCGACGTGCGCTACGACGCGGAGAGCGAAGTGGGATGGCGGAGGTTTTTTCGAGGGATGTGTGGATGGCGGATCGAGGCCTGCGCAGGTGCCGCTCACGGCGATGCGCTGGTCGGCGCGGATATCGATTTTCGGGAAAGGGGATTGGAGACAAGCGCGAGTTTCTCGGAGTTACAGCACAAGCGGAATCGATGCGGTCGCGGGAGTGGTGGTGTTGTTATTGTTTTATCTATCTATACCCGGGTGCGTAGCATGTGTGTAATCGCTGGCCCTGGAGGAGAGGATGCGGCGATCGGACCCACCACGGCCCAAATCTCTCCGCTCACACTGCGGCATCATTACGATATGGGAACAGTGAGGACTGCATTCCAAGAAAACCTGCACTGTTGTGAAACAGCAACATCCGCCAAGGCCTGTATCACGATGGGAACGGCGACTCGTTATGGGAACGATTGATATATGCACGCACACACAGATTCGGACGACGACGGTCAGGCGCGCGGAGGTGGTGAGGGATGCAAGTCGGATTCCTCCAGGGCCCCCTCTTGGGAATCTGGCTCAGTTTGGAGGGCGCGATCCCCTAAATCTTCCAATTTGGGGACTGTCCTGTAGCCGACTTGACCTGCAGGACGATGTTGTGCAGAAGCCACGCCAGAGGGCAGGCCACGCAGCCCATTATCATCAATTGATGGGATGGATGGCCGGCCAGGTGGGGAGAGGGAGGGAAAGTCGCCGCTGGTAGATATACTATACCTAGTGTATGTTACAGGATGTGTCGGGTGTTTGCAGCAAGAGAGGGCGCGAGAGAGGTGCGCGCGGGGTATTGACTTGGACTTTCGCCCTGAATTGCGCTGCCTGCATTTACTGCCCAGGTGCCCAGGTGTAAGACAGTAATGCCCCGAATTCACGTATTGTTCCCCCCGTTCACTGACCGAAATACACGGTTGTGTAGTGATATGGTGCCTATCCTGCCGTTCAATCTCCCTCCACCCATGTCATGTCGTTTCGCGGGACTGGGCGTCGTTCTGAAAGGAAAGACTGCGTATGTTATATCATGTGACCACCGACCATAACCCATCGCAGAGATCCATTAGCGATCACGACAGGGGAATCGCGAGCGACGATGGACCTGGACCTGGACCTGGACCTGGAGAGAGCGCGCGCGCACGTTATCATTGCAGTAGAGTCAAGGGTCAGGGCGTTGTGTCTTGTGACGTCATAGGACAATCCGCCTCTGGAGCAGTTGAGCTGCTTTCCTCCAGTCAAACGTGCACCACTTGTCGGCTCGGCGAGCGAGTGGAGGCGAATGTAGTGTCGTCAGTATGTAACTAGTGAACAGAAGCATGTGTACTCTACCGGTCTACATCACTTAAAGCCCGGCGTCTCTTGCTGGGTGGGCGGCTATTTCGGAAGTGCTGGGCGGATGGAAGTGGAGGGTCAGATCCATGATTATTATTATTGCGATACCACACAGCTTCACCAGTGCATTGGGATCTGGCGTTCAGGTCTTCGATGGGACTAATGCCGTCGTATCTACAGGGGAAGGCGCACACGGGGCGTCAAGTGACTTGACGTCGTTTGAGGCCTGAAAATCTCAATTCCGTCCCCGTCGTGGCCCATCGCGTCTAGCGATCGTCAAGCCATGTGAAAAGTATCTAGGATCCCCACGCGTCGAACGACATATCCATGCACGTCTGGTTCCAGTCGAGACCGGTTCTCATGCCACGAGATTGCATGTGCTGAGCAGTCCCCTGGGGTGGATGGTCTACCATGACAGACGCCCCTATGCATCATTCCGAGCCGCTTCTACCGCTGCAGCATTGAGCTGGATCGGAGTTGCCGTTTCGGTATTGTTTTTGATCGCTTCCACCAGGGGTTCATTCGGCGATGTCGTGGGACTCGCCACCGCTACCTCGGCCGGAGGTGCAACCTGCCCAGTCACAATGGCTTCAGTCTCCGTGATCCCACCCGCCAGCGTCGGTGGGTCACCCTCGACGCCAATGAGGTTGTCCTTGTTCTCCTGTGCTGCTTGTTGGGCAGTCGTGTCGAATCGCACCATCATACACGAGAGGTTGTCGGTGGAGAAACGGGCGAGGGCGTGATCTACCAGCATCTTGGAGCCAAGTTGAGGGTCCTGGACGTTGCGGACGAGGTCGACGGCTTCCTGATCGGAGCACACGTCCCAAAGCTAAAGGTAAATAGGTCAGTAAAGGCCCTGTCAATGTATCAGGATCGCGCTCTCCGATATCACTTACGCCGTCGCATGCGAGAATCAAAAACTCGTCGATGTCTGGTTGGATAACCGTCTCGGTGGTGTAAGGGTGTCCCGTCACGAGGTCCTTCATGTAGGCGTCACCAAGCGCACGGGTCACTGCCAGAACGCCGTTGACGCGGTTGTTCAGGATCAAACCGCCGGCACCTGCGATCCGTTTGCCTTCGTTCTCATCGCCTCCTTTATGGTCGTAGGACAATCGAAGCGCCTTTCCGTTACGGCAGAGGATGATGCGTGCATCTCCAACGTTTGCGGTATAGAGGACGCGCTGACGAGACGCCGACTCCCGGAGTTTGCTCTCTAATTGATCCGGCGGAGTGCTGTCTGCGTTCTCGCCCTGCGAAGCAGCCTGCGCAGTGGCGGGAGCGATGGCGGTCGAACCGGTGGCGGATTGTGAGTTAGGTATCCGATCCTCCCAGCGTAAGACGGCGACGACCGCAGTGGTACCACTGTTCTTCAGCGGCAGCTTCTCCAACTGCTGGTCGACGAGCGTGAACGTCTGGTCGAGCAGTTCCGGGATCGGGGAGTTTGGGTTCTTGCGGATGATATCTTCGAGAAGAAGGTGCACCTTCTTGCCACACCAGTCGGCAGCAAAGGTGCCTGCGTGTCCATCAAAGATGGCGAAATAGCCATTGTCCGTCTCCACCATGTCCTTGTTACCCACACTGACTCGCGGACTTAAGCTCAGATCCGTCGCTGTGGAATCATTGGTCTTGGACTCGAAGAGTGAGAAGCCGGTCGGCGCCCGAGTCAGCGGGGCGTTGGGAACTGGTGTAATGTTGGGTGCAGGAGTGCTCAGGAAGTTGTAGAGGTAAGCATGCGTGTCCTCCATGGTACGCCGACATTTCTTGTTCTTATCCTCGGTGACACCGACGCGAAAAGTCGAGCGTGGGCCAGGCGCAGACTCGCCGGCCGAGTTGTTGAGCGATCCCTGCGGGACGTTGAGCGCAGGATCGGATTTCCCAAGTTTTTGCATCGGACTTTGGTTGCGCTCCGACGAGCTCTTGTCAGATCCGCCGAGGTTAGAGAGCGACTGCTTCGCGCTCGACAGCAGGTCACGAACACGTCCGTTACCGCTGCTGCGCCGCTTTTTGTCGCCTGGGCCCGACAAGTTGCTATCTTGCGAACCTTTGCGACTCGGGCTTTTCAGATCAGCAGTCAGGTCGTCTCGCGGAGCACTGCTCATGGGAGAAGCTGTCCTCGGGCTGCCGGTGGTCTCGGTGTCGCCGGCACCGACAGACGTGTCGAGCGCTTCTTTTGAGGATTCCTTGCCGCTGCCGAACATCCTGCCGAGCAGGCCGCCCTGACCGGAGAGACTACGTCTCTTATTTCCGGCCAGATTGGGGCTCTGCTTTGTACCCACGTCGCTCATGTATTTCAGGTGCGCTGGAGGGTGCAATGATGCGATGCGCGGTTCAATGGAGGTGGTCGTGGTCTGGGAGTACCACTCAAATTGCGGGTTGTCTAGGTGAAAGTGCGGGGCGGAGGCTGGAAGTGGAGCACCCTGTCAGTCGGACGGGCTGCTGGCAAATTAAGGCAACGAGGGAGGGGGACCTCTGACAGCGCGAAAATGCTCTCTGTGAGGCTCGATTGTTCACGTCGTTTCGTTGTTGGTGGATGAAAGAGAGGAGTTGAGGTGTCTGTCCAAGCAATGGGCTGCGCAGGTTATGGTTAATAATTGAAAAGTAGGATACATGGGCTACAGTGCACTTACAGTATTAGTGAGATGGCAGGGATCGAGGCAAAAAGACTAAAGGCTGCAGGTGATCTTGGAATCACGTCAAAGCGGCTTTTGGCGCGAAAGTCCGCCCGCTCTCCCTCAGCCGGGTCACTGACATTTTCGGCGTCATCAGTGTTGTTGACGAGCTACAGACAGCTACGGCACAACAGTGTCTACACTGTCCTGATGGGTATCTCAATCGACGATGTTGTGGAATGGCAAAGCTTGCAGGTACTCCTCGGAACACACATCGCCATCACCATGTCTCGCCCAAGTCACGATCTCCCTACCACCTTCCCTTCCCTCAAAGACATCTCGAAGGGACAGCCCGTTCGAGCTTTGTCACGGGCAGGTTGGTGCGGTCTAGAGTACCTAGGTACAGTACGCGGCAGCGCTGAGCCACCGCCTCGCCCCTCTCAATGACTCGATGCTCGATCTAAAATAAGTCTCGACACACACACACACACACACACACACACACAGCATGGCATGGTGCACTGCCAGAAGCCTCAATGCGGCTCTCATTTCTCAGCAGAGATCTTTGTCATGGTCGCGAACATGGCAGGGTGTCAGTCGCCGGGCCCGAGCGAGGACCGACAGATCCGCTAAGCTATGTGCCAACTGTCATACCAATCGATAGTATGCAGGGCGTTCAGCAGCCGCAAGACACTCCGCACCGTCGAGCTGGTCTCACATCGTTTCTCTGGGCAGCATTTACGTCGAACAAGTAGACTCCCGGTGAAGTTAGTGCTGTCGCTGTCGCTCTCCGCAGGTATCTGAAACTAATCGGAGCGCTCGATCAACGTTTGCTGTGAGGAAGACTCTCGGTGAGCCGTGCGTGACAGCATCGAAGCGATCGTCCCATTCGTATCCCTCCGTCAGGGCTGCTCAACAGGACAACCACGTCTACTGTCCAGTGATAAAACAAATAGCACATAATTATTGCCATATGTTGCCCGGGATGAAGCAAAGCGAGATGTGGAGGCTGATTGGTAATGATGTCCTGCACTGACGTCGGTGGTGTGCTCGCCCGAGCGGAATTAAGACACGCCGAAAGCAAGCGGAAACCATAAAAATGACGAGTGACGATGATGACCACCGCCAGAGCAGGCAAGCTTCAGAATCAGCACGCGCATTCCGCAGGGGCAAAAACCTCGATGTTCTGTTAGGGTGAATCTATTCACTTCGGTAATGCAGAGAATAACAGTGCTCAAGAGTTGGCGCAGATTTCCATGCGCGGCGAGAACCAGAGCCGGCAGATCACACCACCCGATGTTCGACTGCCACGAAGTATTATGTCTGCATCGCAAACCATAACGTCATCGGGGCAACAGCGAACAGGTTCCCGGGTCGATGGCGATATCACACGTGGCCGTCGTACCAGTGACCAACGTACTGTACCTATAAACGGCGTTGATATCAAAGATCAAGTTTTGATTACTACTGATAATTCATCGTTCCATGTCTACAATCCCACGTTGTGTATGCAAACTGCGATGCGAGCATTGACGCATCTCAACAGAGTCCCGAACGATCTGGATTTAATAGGTCGTGCTGATATCCTTCACTCCCACCCGTAGCGTTCAACATAGAGTCAGCGAGCCTGTGAAACGGCATCGTTTACACGTATCGTTGTCCAGCGCGTCGGTATGCTTGCCCATGGTGCCATAAACCTTGGCAAACACCGAGAATGACATGCAGTATCCTATCGACGTTGAGTGGCGTCTCATCATCGGCGTAGGCTGTCGAGCCGAGCCTGAAGGTCATCGTCACCGGCATCGGGTCCGCCGACGGCCTGAGCGACTCGGCCTTCAGCGACTGCATTCTTCTGCAGACCTTGTGGTGTTTCTCCGAGCTGGCAAAAATCAGCGGCATTCTCGACAGTGAATATCTTCCGTCCGGTCTTACCGCTTGGCCTAGATCGATTCCGATCTCATCCAACACCTGTTGTACCACCTCCTCGCCTTCCTCCTCATCCTCGAGTCCGGTGACATCGTCGATTGCGTCGTCCATCATTTCCTGCCGTTGGTCCATGATATCATTCTCCTTCTCGAATTCCATTGCTATCCGCTGAAGCGCTGGCAGGTCCATCTGGCGGTTCATGCTTCCCAGCAGTTGTGTCGCGCCTTTCATACTCTGCATCATCTGCTCATTGCTGCGCACGGTCTGTAGGGGTATTTGTTAATCGAAGCACTCCTTGGGACATAGAACCCAACCGACTCACTTGTATCCGTAGTGAGATTGCTTGAAGCTGCGTGCGCATCTGGTAGAACTTTTGAATGTATCTGGATCGGGCTCTGTCAATGACTACTTCTCGACAATCATCTCTGTGGTGTTGCGTCGTACCGCCTCGTTCGGACCAGATCTTTCGCCTGGACCTTCACCGCTCCCATCTGACCATTCTTAGCATTCTTCTTGATGTCCTGCACCAACTTCTTTTCCTGGTTCTCGAGCTTCGTTCGCTCACGGTCGAGCTCGCGCTGTGTCTTCTCCAGTGCACGCTGGTGTTTGCGCAGGCGCTCGGCCGGCGTCATGCGCTTTCCGAAGGCCCATTCTACAATCTACCGTCCTTTAGTTGTCTGCCGTAGAGGACCACGAAAGAGAATCTAGCAAGACATACATTCATGTTGATCTTGCAGCCAGAGTGACGTCAAATATGTTCCAGGCCAGTTGCATTCGCCCGTCACTTCAAATGTCGCATGTCACAGTCAGGATCCGTGAAATAGGTCGTCAGCTCGCCAGATGTCTCTGGACAACAATTCGTAATCTGTGAAGTGCAATCTACATGCACATATCTAAAGAGTTGCGTAATGTAGGCGCCAGAGTCTGGGGCGTGCATCCCAAGGTTCATTACATCGTAGCCTGTGACACGTGCTTTGCCGAGCGCAACAAAGCTCACCCTGGGCACCTGCAGTCTGGTTTTGGGCTTCGGCGGCCTCCCGGATAGGGCACGACGACGGAACTGCTGGCCGACGAAGATGCGCTCCGCCGCCCCAAATGTGCGATGAACACTGCGCAAATATGGGGCACATGTTTGGGAAATCTATTGAAATGCTCAATATGGCAGCAGTGGACGGATTGCTGGGGAGACTGCCCTATGCGATGTTTCGGGCACATGGAGACAACCACGATGTTGGCGAGCGATGGAGAATTGTATGCATCACAGCGAACTACGGGACATTGTAGAGACTCGGCATCGTCGAGGTACGTTTGTGGATGGCGGGGAGTGCTCGGCGAGAGATATAGTGAGACACAGAGGGGCCACCGCTTGTATTTCAAAAATCAAGGGAAAGATGACACCACAAGTCCGCGAGTGGCCGCGAAATCAGGAGATGCCGACACATTGTTGACTGGGAGGTAATCAAGACTGCTGATGATAGAGCTGGTGAGTTTTGTCCGGCATTCACAGACTCGAAATGAAATGGTAGGCGAGCCGATGACGCTACTAGTCACGTGAAAGACTAAATTGTCCCAGCCCAAGCGAACATCAGTCGTGACTTTTCGTGTCCAGCTGCCCGCCACGACAATCAGAGTCATTGCGGAAAGGCAGGCATCATCAACAACCTGCTCCACCCTACGATACAATGACACCTTGATTCACCATCATCAATAACATGACTTCCGACGACCTTTTCGCCGGCAAGGCGTCAAGCAGCAGTGCCGACAGTCACGATGCGCCGAGCAGCTCGCGCACTCCTAGGGCGCCCGGCTTCTACACATACGGCACCGGATCAATATCTGAGCAATCGATGAAGCTCCAAGCCGAACTCGAGCGGGATTCTGGATACGGTAGTCTCGCTGAGGGAGGGGGAGCATTCGCCAACCCATGGCACCCCGACTCAAGCGCAGACCGCTTCACCCCGGATCATACACCCATTCGGCCTGGGGAAGCAAATGCGAAGCTCCTGGCCAGCAATGTATCCCATCTTCACTACAACAACAACCGCACAGCGCTGGCGCGTGCGATCAACCAGACTGTGGAGACACTCAAGAGACTGCAACAGATGAATGCACAATGGCCTGCGCACTATCCGAGTGTGAGGTCTCAACCGGCCATGCATGACCGCCCTCAATCGCGACCGGGTCTCTCACATACCCAATCCACCATGGATGGAGGTCGACCGGAGATAGAGCAACGCGCAGCGCGCCCGCAACCGCCACGACGAGCGGGGACCTCTCTGAACGAACATCAAACCGGAGAATCTAGCGAACAAGCCCTGGCTAGAGCACCCGTCGCAGAGCCACGATTAATCACCCCACAGCTTTCGCAAGACTTTTCAGTCTTGAAGATTGAACTCAAAATGGAAGGATTGCCACAATCTGAGATCGTGCACTCCTTGGAGAAGCAATCTGTGGCTGCACTTTTGGACAATCAGATCAATAACAGCATCAGGCACCTCTTTTCTCTTCGGGATCGAATCGAGGACACTTCAAGCAAGGTATTGGTAACGGGTGATCTGAACGCAGGAAAGTCGACATTTTGCAATGCCCTCTTACGTCGCAAGGTCCTCCCGGAAGATCAACAGCCGTGCACGAGTATCTTTTGCGAAGTCCTCGATGTGCAAGAGAACGCCGGGGTTGAGGAGGTCCATGCCATTCCTCATGGTCAAACATATGATCGAAACGATGAGACCACATATGAAGTATTCCAATTGAAGGAGCTCGAAAACATCGTTGGTAACAGCGAGAATTATGCGATGTGCAAAATCTACATCGGAGACAATCGATCGATCGACCAGTCACTCCTCAACAACGGCGTGGTCGACATTGCATTGATCGACGCTCCCGGACTCAACAGCGACTCTCTCAAAACGACCGCGCTCTTCGCCCGCCAAGAAGAGATCGATGTCGTGGTGTTTGTCGTCTCTGCCGCGAACCATTTCACGCTATCGGCGAAGGAATTCATCTTCAATGCAGCACGCGAGAAGGCATACATGTTCATGGTGGTCAATGGTTTCGACAACATTCGAGATAAGAACCGGTGCAAGGAAGCAATTTTGAAGCAAGTTGCTCACCTCAGTCCAGCGACTTTCAAAGAGTCTTCAGAACTAGTCCACTTCGTCTCAAGTAACGCAATACCAGTGGGGCCGGGACCAAGTGCACCGGGTGGCGGCCCTGCGCGGAGTGGTGGTGGAGGTTCGGGCGGCTTTCCTGACCGCGGTGATGATGATGATTTCGCTGAAGACGAACCACTAGGCAAGCACGGAGAGCCAGGCTCTCCGCCAGATGGCAAGGGAAAAGGGAAACAAAAGGAGGCCATGGATGACTTTGGCGATCTCGAGGCATCTCTGAGACGATTCGTGCTGGAGAAGCGAGCACGGTCGAAGCTGGCCCCTGCACAAACCTATCTCCTCAATCTGCTCTCCGATACTGGAATCCTGGCCACTGTCAATAGGGATGTTGCCCAGTCTGAGCTCGATCGTGTGGCTGCGGAACTGCAACAGTTGGAGCCGGTATACGAAAAGTCCAAGAAAGCTCGGACGGAAGCGGATGAAGGCGTGGCTAATAACATTGACGAGACTACCGAAGGCGTGTTCACCTTGACCAGGAATACATTGACTGATGCGATCGCTCGGGTGGCCGAAGCCGATTTGGGCGTGGAGTATCCTGGTCTGCTCGGAGCATACGATTATGCCGATGAACTGAAAGCTGCGATGCTCACCCAGATCACCGAGACCGTGAGATGGTGTGAGGAGCGCGCCAAGGAAAAGACCGTGACTGGCGTCAGCAGCATCAAAGCACTAGGTCTATCGCATTTGGGCGACGAGTATGTGGATCTGACTTTCCGATCGGAGAAGATGTTCAGATCTCGAAAGGATGCTCTCGCCCGGCAGGTGGACTTTGACGCGGAGATCTGGGACTTCTTCGACTTCACCCATATTTGGCAACGACAGGAGAAGGTCGCAAGCACAAGCATGGCCGTGACGGTGGCTACTGTGGTTGGAGGAAGGATGTTGACCGGATTCGGTTGGATGGACAACGCTCTGATGGCGACCAAGATCGTGGGACCCAACAACCTCAGGAGAATGATTATTCCCGGATTGGTCCTTGCCAGTAAGTTCCCTCGATGTTGGGACATGCGTTTCCATATCACTGACCATGTATTACAGTCACGTTCGGAGTCTCATATGCCATCTCACAAATTCCCAAATCACTTCCGCACCGGCTGAGCGCCAAACTCGCCGCACAGCTCGCCGCTCTCGACTACACACACGCCAACGCTCAGCGAATCAGCAATGAGGTCCGCCGTGCGCTCAAGTACCCCTCGGACAAGTTACGTGAGAACCTCCAACGTAGCGTCGAGCGCTTGCACGAACAGCGCCAGGCGACGGTCAAAGTCCAGCAGGAGAGCGAGATCGCACGCAAGTACTTTGGCAACCTGATCCGGGAGAGTGCCGACATCCGGACCCGCGTCCAACACATCAACCTGGAGGGAACTCCCACCGAGCTTGCGACTGTGATATAATTATTGTAAAATCTCTCCCCTTTGTTCTGCTTCTGAAATCGGTTGGCATGGAGCACGGCGTTGCGAGAAAAGGGGGAAATACGGCACTTAAAAAGATATCCAACATTGCCATTCGGGGCGATGGCTTTCGTTAACTAGTTCTCACCTGGGTTTCAAATTGTCCTCTGCGAATCTCCGTAGTACTGCATCACAAATGAAACTCTTCTCATTGGAATCAAAGTACCTCGGAGTTGAATTTCCATTATTCCAGTATTACAGCGGAGTTAGATGTGATGTCGCGTGCACCATCCGTAAACGTGCAGGCATGCCTCACACGATTCTACGTTGAGGTTGTTGTCCGTTATGCGATGTCCAGAGAACCTCCAAAGCCTGCAAGCGAAGTAGCGTCCTACGTCATCGGTTTGTCCGACAAAGGCATCTCACGAATCTTGCTGGTGACTTTGACTACTCCTCAGTCCATGGCAACTACACGCTACATCCATCTTCCACTTCAGTGCAATCGCCAGCGGATACGAGTGCCCGCGTTGACCTGCATGTCTGTCACGCTCGAAGCCATGAGATTTCTTCGCCCAACATGAGGAAAACGCTATTGCTAGTCTTCATCCACGGCTTCAAGGGGACCGATCAAACCTTTCATAATTTCCCCAAAGACCTGCGAGCGCTTCTCTCACACACTCTCCCCAAGGTCCGCATCCTGAGCATCATATATCCGCAATACGAGACTCGTGGAGACCTGAAGACCTGCGTGGCCAGATTCAAGGAATGGTACGTGACTTGGGTTGTGGTATACATGCGTTGGACGACATCATCTGACCTGCCCTCTCTCTCTTGTGCACGTTTACAGGCTCCAGGACAAGGTCATCGATCTCGAGGTGGCCAGTGGAACCCCATCGCCCACGGTAGATCCCTCGGTGCACGTGATCCTGTGTGGACATTCCATGGGCGGCATCGTGGCGGCCGAGACGTTGATCAGCATCGCCCGCGACGAGCCGGTGCCGACCGCGCGACATGCCAACGACACGACGAACTCCACGACGACCGAGGCGGGACCACCGTCGGGGAGCAAGCCTGTGGATCTGCCCGTGCCGGGGCAACCCGAACGCGCCAGTTCGGCGCCACCGGCGAGTGAACCGACCACGCTCTTTTTCCCGTACATCCAAGCCGTCCTCGCCTTCGATACACCATATCTCGGCATCAGTCCCGGGGTGTTGGCACACGGCGCCGAGGTTCAACTCGGCCACGCAACCACCGCTTACAAGGCGTACGATTCGGCGAGTCGACTTTTCGGATGGGGGTCGTCACGCAGCGGCGCCGCCGCCGCTGCCGCCGCAGCTGCTCCCAGCGCCTCGACGGGGAGCGCAGCCACCTTTCCAGACGTATACGGGTGGCAGAAATGGGGCTCATATGCCATGTACGGCGGGGCCGCGGCCGCCATCGCAGGGATCGCAGGGGCCGCCTATCTCAACTGGAACCAGATCAACCAGGGGTTCGAATGGGCGGGCAGCCATCTGGAGTTCGTCGGGTGTCTGGCCCGGGGGGCCGAGCTCAAGAAGCGCGTCGAGACGGTCGTGGATCTGACCCGGACGCGGCCCGTCGGCTTCGCGAACTTCTACGGCGCGCTCGGGGCCAAAGCCACCGGCCAGACCAAATACGCCGGCGCGGTGCTCGGCGCCGACCGCACGTTCTGCGTGATCCCGCGGGACGCCGCCGACGCGACAGGAGGAGGAGCGGGAGGGGGGAGTCCCACCGGCTCGAAGAGGAGCGCGTCCGGGACCGGCACGACGGACCCTCCCCCGCCACCGACCAAACGCCGGCGGCGACCCGCGACGAGCGACGACCCCCGCATCAACGCCCAGATGGCGGAGGGCGACAAGGTGCAGGACTTCGCCGAGGACGCGAGCCAGCCCAAGGGCCACTGGGTGCGCTGCGTGAACGACCAGGCGGCGGACGAGATCGGCGCGCACCAGGCCATGTTCGCGCCGGGCGCCAACCCGGGTTACTTCGACATGCTGGCGCGCGCGAGGGACCAGGTCGCGGGGTGGGTCGAGGGCCCGTGGTACGAGGAGTCGGAGCGGAAGGTCGCCACCGGGTCGGACGGCGCGGGCGATGACCAGGAGGGACGATCGGGTCCGCAGTTCGACGTGCCGTTTGATCTGGATTAAAATGTGCGATCGTCTATCGTCCCCGGACGGAACGTGTGTGTGATGATGATGATGATGATAATGATGATTTGATGATACCCCTAGGACTATGTACTCGGCCATACGTCGTCTATCCCGTCTCCCCTTCGAACGATCCCGTGACGGATGTGAGACCCTCTACTGCAAATAATAACATGATTTTCTCTCTTCTCGAGTCGACGAGGATGACGACGAAACCGTTGACTCTGGACATGTATGCCTTACCCCAACCCTAACAAATATATCTGTCGAGAGGGACGACCCTAACGACAGGCAGGTGCACGGGTAGGTTGTGGGAATTCCGGGGCACACACACCGCGAAAGGAATGCCCACCCTCCGTCCGTCATCATTGGGACGGACGGACCGCTGACCTGAAGAACTCTCAGCTCGCTGCCGCCAAAGCATCGCGTGACTCGGAGGGGCCTCTCTCTCTCTCTCACCGATAAGGATTTGTCTCCTGTATCGATAAGGAACGGGCTGATCTCCAGTACTTGTTATTACAGCCCTGGAGTATATCGAGATGATGAGTGAGTGAGCGAGTGAGGTAGTTTGCTTACTTATTTTTTTTGGGGTCTCGTTGTTGAGAATTTGAAGAGATGCCTGCTGAGGCATTTCCCCCATTCCGTTCCATCTCATCATTTCATTTGATGGATGCGGGTGGGTAGTGGTTTGTTAACCTATCCATCTGTGAAGGCGAAACCGTTCGGCGGGCGGGCGGGCTGGCGGGCTGCTTGTCGTGGAGGGTCTCTCGCTGTGCGATAAGCCGGGAGGAGTTCACCGAGAAATGATGTCGGCTGTTTCTACCCACCCATCATTCTTCCCAATACGGGCGGTTCTTCGACATCGGTCTGTTCTCTCCTAGCAATAACCTACTGCGTCGGCCATCATTTTCAGGGAGGAAAGGGCAGAAGCGTGCGGGTGTTGGCGATCGGTGACGATGACGATAGAACAAGCCACCGCCCCGGGGGTCTGGTCATGATACATGTACACCTGGGCATATTGGGGGCAGATGATGAGTAAATGGCATATGGCGGCGTCGGACTGGGCCTGACTTCGACCGAACTCTCTCCGCCTCTCTCTCTCTCTCTCTCTCTGCCTCTCTCTCTCTGCCTCTCTTCCTCCCACTCCCTCTCCCTCGTCCGACCCGGTGGCATTCCTGCTTCCTCCGAGATTGAAGGGATTGTGATGCCGTCCATCATCATGACCCAGGGCAAATTATTATATGCCTATGAATTGTAATAGTAGTGGTAGTAGTAGGAGTATTAGTGGTAGTCCATCCCCGATCGGTGGTCGTTCATCATCTCCAGGAGACACCACCCCGCCTGGAGAGGTGAAGCGGTATGGTGATGGTGATGATGCTGCTCTCTCTCCCTCCCCTCCCTCGTGGAAAGCCCTACTGTAATACGGTAGATGTGGTAGCGGCGAAGAGATGGGAAATTGTACCAATGCTGGAAGAGGAGGACTCGAATATGTTTGTATGTGTGTATGTATGTCTGTATACCTTGGTATATGCATGTTTGTATGAATTAGGTATACACATATCTATGCATTGCCTCCCGAGTCCAGCGTTCGGGTGTGGTATTCACCACTGCTTAGGCTACTGTACAATGACAATGAGATGATAAGAGTACTGTTATTAGGTGTATTGTTGATTGGAGGAGAGTCCTGGAGGAACCGAAACCCCACACAAACACCCATAGAGAAGCGCCGATCACGTCCCTTCCCTTCCCTTTTCCAACCTTGGTTCCCTTCCTGGTCCGCCTGGTCCGCCTGCCCACCTGCACCTGTCCACCTTACGCGTGATTCCGGGGGTGGCCCAGGGCGGATTGGGAAGTCACACTCTCACCACTGCACCACTGCACCACTGCACCACTGCACCACTGCACCACTCACCACTCACCTCAGCTCGTCCCGTTTCCCCCCATGACATACTGTACATACTGCACCCCATCACATCACATGTACACCTGGGCAGCGAATGCCCGTATGGTATGCTGGATGATCATCTCTCTCTCCCAGACCGAGACAACCTGAGCATATCTAGGTACATACTGTAGTCCACCTCTCTCCCTCTCTTCGCACATATACACACACGACACGCACACACACACACACACACACACACACACACACACACACACACACATAGATACACACACGACACGCATCGGCGGCACTCGCGCGCTAATCGTGCTCGCGTGCAGTGTCCGCCATGAGGACCTTTTGCTGGTTCCGTCGGCAGATACAGTAAAATAGTGTCTCTAGAGAGATAGAGAGAGAGAGAGGGAGAGAGAGAGGAAGAGTCACCTATGTCATACCTAGTACTCATATCACCCGGCATTTATCCTTATCTCTCCATCCTCATGACACCCACCGGTCCCACTTCCTGCTGTTCATTCTCTTCCTCCTCCTCCATCACCACCACCATCACCTCCCCCTCCTCCTCCTCCAACTTCTTCACCAACTGCTCCATACATCCCCACGGCCGCCATCACCTCGACACCTGACTCAGCCACCACCTCTCTCGCCTGCACCGTCACCACTGGGGACTCAGTCACGGCCTTTTGGATAAGTCTGGACTAGCGACCTCCCATCCTCCTCCTCCTTCTCTCTACACTTGCCGAATATCATCCTACAGAACAGTCCCTCAGCATAGATCATTCAAAACGCAAGACTTCTCACCCGGGCATCGCTCAGTCCTGTGTCAGCATTCGGTGTGGAAGACATCCGCATCTCACCTCTGACGGGTCTTGCCAACCCACATGACATAAATCTCCTCAGATACCACAGCACCCGTACTCTTGAGCCATATAAATCTCCTCAGAAACCACAGCACCCGGACTCGTGAGCCATATGATATCCTCGGATCCATTCCGACCCAGCCCACGATTGGATAGACTCATAAATCTAAAAGAGACGTTCCTATAGCCACCACCCTCAGTCCTATCGATCACGATCCACCACCAAGATGCCATGGCTACCACCCACTATCCTGTCGACAGCTCTACCGAGTCACTGCACACCCGAGAACGACTTCCTGCTTCAACTAAGTAGGACCTTCAACACTTGTATCCCTACGCCACTCGCCCTCGTCTCGACGCTGTTCGGCATTCTCAGTATCATCGCCTGGTTGTTCGCACAGGTACCGCAGATTTACAAGAACTGGAAGTTTCAGAGCACTTCCGGCCTATCGATATGGTTCCTGGTGGAGTGGTTTGGCGGAGACGTCGGCAACCTGTTGGGCGCGCTCTTCACCCACCAAGCGACTTGGCAGGTAACAATCGGCGCATACTACGTTTTGGTGGACATGTGTCTCCTGGGACAGTGGATCTGGTATGAGAAGTTGCGGCACGGACAGACCGTGCTTCGCTTGTCGAGGAGAAGAGCCAGGCGAGACAGGAGTGGAGATGGACGAGGGACCACCCGCGACATGGAACACGTCCCGGCGGACGGATCTTCCGATATGGTTGCGAATCGTCAGCCGGACGGCGAAGGCCGCTCTGCTGCTGGCCAGACGGCACCGAGAACCATCTTCAGGGCACCTACATTCGACAAGAGTTCGAACGACGCCGAAAAGTCCTCGCTGAGCAGCAGCGGACAGCCTGCCACCCCCGGCGGGAGGACACTCTACAGAGCGGGCAACGGCACGGCATCGTCGTTCCCGTCTCCGTCACCACGGACCATGATGATGATCGCCTGCCTCATCGCCGTGGTAGCAGCTTCGCCCATCCAACAGCAAGACGCCGCCCCCGGACAACACGGAGCTCTGCCGCAGACGTCGGATCGACGACCGCACCTCGAGGAAGCGCCACCGACCGCTCTCGAGCAAGCCGGCTCCCTCCTCGCATGGACCTCCACCTTCCTCTACCTCGGCTCCCGCCTCCCCCAGCTGCTCAAAAACTGGAAGCGGAAGTCCACCGCCGGCCTCAGCTTCCACCTCTTCCTCGCGGCCTTCTGCGGGAACTTCTTCTACTCGGCCGCCCTCCTCACCAACCCCAACGCCTGGTCCGACTTCGAGCCCTACGGCGGCGGCGGCTGGGCCGGTGCCGCCGGCAACGACCGCGCGCGCTGGATCCTCAACGGCCTGCCCTTCTTCCTCGGCGCCGCCGGCGTCCTGGGCCTGGACGCCAGCGTCGGCATCCAGTTCATGATCTACGGCGATGCGGCGCAGAAGCTGGTCGTGCTCGACGAGGAAACCGACGGTGAGGGCGGCGGCGGTGGCGCCCAAGACCTGATCCGCAGCGTCGTCCTCCTCGACGCCGACCGCCGCTCGTCCTTCTCCGCCGCCACCGACGATTCCCGATGGCGCTGGCGTCGCGTCAGCGGCTGGATGCGCGGCTGGATCCCCACCGGCAGCGAGCTGGGCGCCGCCGGCCCCGACGAGCGGGAGGCTCTGTTGCGGCCGGTGTCACGGCAAGGCGGAGGAGGAGGTGGTGGTGGTGCGGAGGAGGCTTCACGGAGCGCTGCTGCTGCTGCTACTGCACCCGCTCCTGCAGCCGCCGCCGCCGCCGCCGCCGCCGATCCTTCGAGCTACGGCACGCTGTGACGAGGACGATTCCGCTATTTCGGCGAACAGGCAACCTTCTCTTTTCTTTTCTCCAGCACGGTTGGATTTTGGGTTTTTTCGGGGCAGGGGGGCGAATTTCGAGTTCTATCCGGCATCGACGGCAGCATTGTTTTGGTGGGAACTCCAGAGATGAGATGGGAATCGGAGCATTGAGCATTTTTTTTTCTCTTTTTTTTTGGACGGGAGCACATTCTTCTTGCGGAGTAATGAGACTACCCTCCCTCCTCGCGAGACGAGCGCATCGAGCATCACGCATCACGCATCGAGGAATTCCCTACAGGGTCCCTCAGGATTACATTTCCGCAGCCTGAGGGGGCTTTTTTTGCATTACGGATGGATTCGTATCTATATATGTCATGAGGGTGGCGGTGGTGGTGGTGGGAACAGGAGTCCGCAGCATTTTGCATATCGACGACATGGGGAAAATCACCTCCATGGAAAATAAATAATGATTTGATGATGAGAAGTCACGTCGATGACCTTTTCGGTTTTCTCTTTCCTCCTTTTTAAGAGAGAGAGAGAGAGAGCCTTTGTTGAAAGCCCTGTACATTTCCCCATCATCTGTGGTGTAAAGCGGCATGTTCGGGTAAGCAAACGATGGATGTCACGATCCAATCCCCGACTGCACTTCCCCACATTTCCGCGCCAACGACGACGTCAGAAGTTTGCAGCAGGCAAATGAGATGCACGCACGAGAGCTCGATAGCTCCTACGTACCCAAATAGGTAGGCGTGTAGAGTTTAAACGCGGTCCAACAGCTGTTGCGAGCTTGACTTGGCATCTAGCTGAGAGAGACGTTCGGCCCCAAAGGTGCTGACGAGCATCCCCTATCATCGGTGTATCGGCATCGCAATTGACCAGATCAGCCTCGACGACGTGCGGGAGATCCTTCAGGAACGCGATCGTCGGCGAAACGAGCGACGATATCGCCCCGGGTCGTTCGAGCAGAACCGCCCCGCCCTCGGAATCTATCCATAGCTTCTGTGATCGTCGGAGTGAGGCTGGTGGTTCGGAGAGAGGACGTTGGAGGTTTATTTCATTATATTTTCTTTTTGACAAAAAACAAGGGAAAGAAGGGAACAGAAAGGGAGATGGCGTGTGAGTTTGGATTATTCTCCCCGGCCCTCGCCTGCACATGATGATGAGTGAGGGCTTTTTTTTCTCCGAGTTCTGACCAGAGACCATCCCCCGCCCAGCCAAACACTTCATCGATGACCCGACCCATCTCGTCGATCGCGCCCTCGAGAGCATCGCCCTGACCAACCCCCACACGGCCTTCGACGCCGCCGACAAGACCATCTACGTCCGCGCCGGCGCCCCCGCGGGCGATGAGCCCCGCGTCGCCGTCATCTCCGGCGGCGGGTCCGGCCACGAGCCGTCGTTCGCCGGGTTCGTCGGGCCGGGGTTCCTCCGCGCCGCGGTCGCGGGGTCCATCTTCGCGAGCCCGGCCGCCGAGCAGGTGCGGCGGTGCATCCTCGAGCGGGTCGACGGCCGCCGCGGCGTCCTGGCCGTCGTGATGAACTACACCGGCGACGTGCTGAACTTCGGCGTGGCGGTCGAGAAGGCCCGGGCGGCGGGCCGCGCGGTGGAGATGGTGGTCGTGGGCGACGACGTCGGGGTCGGCCGGGCCCAGGGCGGCAAGGTCGGGCGCCGCGGCATCGCGGGGACGGTCCTGGTCCTGAAGATCGCGGGGGCGTTGGCGGACCGGGGCGCCGGGCTCGAGGAGGTCCGGCGGGTCGCGCAGATGGCGGCGGGGAATACCGTGTCGATCGGGGCGTCGTTGGGCCACGTCCACGTCCCGGGGAGGGGCCCTGCGGAAGAGGATGGAGGTGGGCTGCGGGCGGGTGAGGTGGAGATCGGGATGGGCATCCACAACGAAGCGGGTTCGGAAAGGACCCAGGCCGACCTGCCGGGCGTTGTCAAGACCATGCTGACATACATGCTCGATGCCGAGAGCGAGGACCGCGGGTTCATCAGGGTCGGCAGCGAGGACGAGGTGGTGTTGCTGATCAATAATCTGGGCGGGGTCAGCGTGCTGGAACTGGGGGGCATCGCCACGGAGGCCATCACGCAGTTGCGACGCGACTACGGCATTCGTCCCGCGCGGATCCTCGCTGGCACATACATGACATCTCTGAACGGCCTGGGCTTCTCGCTCACCCTGCTGAAGACCGCCGAGCTGGGCGCGAAATACACAATGCTGGAGTTGTTGGACGCCCCTGTGGAGGTGACGGGTTGGTCCTCGGGGATCAGCAGCAAGGCATGGTCATCACCACCGAATCAGACAGAAGAAATCAGACCACAGGAGACCGACCGAAACGAGCCTTGCGGGTTGGACCTGGACGCTCAATTGACCAGCGAGGCCCTCGATCAAGCCCTGGAACGTGTCATACAGGCCGAGCCCGACATCACGAGATTCGACACCGTGGTCGGCGACGGCGACTGTGGCGTGGGTCTCAAACGTGGCGCCGAAGCCATACGTGCCGAACTGGCTCAGATCTCCAAGCAGAGCGACGCTGCACTATTCCTTGACCGGGTCACTGCCGTGGTCGAGCGGACCATGGACGGCACATCGGGGGCTCTATATGCTATTTTCTTGAACGCCGTGTCCACCGGACTGAGGCGGCAGCACGCGGGCGACAAGTCTACAGAGATCAACGCTGCTGCCTGGGCCAAAGCTCTCGTATTCGCTCTTGAAAGCCTGAGTCACTACACACCCGCCAAACCGGGGGACAGGACCCTGATGGATGCGCTGCAACCTTTCGTCGACGAGTTGCATCGGAGTGGGGATGTCCAGCTTGCCGCCCAGGCAGCCGCCGAGGGCTCGCAAGCGACAAAGGGCATGAAAGCCAGCCTTGGCCGCACCGTCTATGTGGGCGGCAGCGGGTTTGAGGAGGTCCCTGATCCAGGCGCTCACGGCCTGGCGCAATTCTTCCAAGGCCTAGCAGAGGGACTGAAGTGAAAGACCCGTAGCGTCGCTCCCTCTCGAGCAGCCTCCCCCCAAAAACGGTCGCAGTCACCACGCCTGATTGTGATATCAGAATTAGCTGATTGCGCCAACGAATCTCGTTGATATTGTTGTATCATACCCGAACTACGCTATCACTCCACCAGTAAACGCCGTCCTTTCTCCACCCGCGAACCCAGCAAAGTTTGTTCGTACAATTGGTGTCAAGTTTTGGCCCTCTCGAACATCCCTCACGCAATCGAAACTTGTCGCGCTCAGGTGCTTAGTAGGACGAGAATCACACTGTCGCCTCTTAGGAACATCTTGCTGATGAACCGGTCCTTGTTGATCGGGCGACCCTTCTTGCCGTCGTGCAGGCGTGGGATCTCCGTCCACATCTCTTTGACGTTCTCGAGGATCATGTTGCAGTGGCGATCGAACGCCTTGACACGCGCGAGCAGCTTGCGGTTGTTGCGGCATGAGATCAGCACCTGGACGTGTTGTCGCACAGCGGTCTGGATGAGTGAAAGCGGGCCTGCGGAGAATTCGTGTTGCTCGAGGACGGAGACTTCATATTCGCTGTGTTCGCACCAGGTTAGAATTGTTCGGCCTTTGAGGATCCCTTGGGTGGTTTGTTGGAAACTCACGTGAGTTCTGATCGTGGTTTGCCGAGCAATTCTCTGTGGACCAGTTAGACCTGTCGCATGAACGTGCGCGTGAGGAAAATAGCTCACTGAATCTTGCTGTCGGTACCTGCGGACGCCATCATGTACGATTCTGTGGGCGATCGAGGATGTCAAGGGTGCAATATTCTTTGGTCAGACCAGTCTTCTTCACACGATAGTGGAGCCGTCCTCGAATTGTCGTGAATGTCGAACGTGAATCGGTCAAACTTCGGGTTGACCGCCGCGGAGCTTCTTGAAAGCCTCAGGCACATGTAGTATATTCTCAGTGCCGTTCGGTCCCTGCAGCTGGTGCCTGCTGCTGCCCTATGCTGAATCTGCACATCAGATTGAAACGCGGCTTACATAAGTCGTGATGACGCCGATCTATCGATCTGAACGCGTGCCCCGAAACACGCTTGCTGCATAGCCAACGCTACACGCACATCCGTCCACACCACCTGGGCAGTGTACACGTCCTGCCACCTCGATGCCGTTGCCGTTGCCTCGACGGCAGCACGTCTCATATGATTAATTCTCCGCTTTCTAGTACTCCTCACCTCTTACAACCACCTCATTACCTGTATCTGACGCAACCACATCCGAACGCCTATTCATTCGACACGCCAACATCACGAACGCTACATGTCGATTCGTCCTGCAGACAGGCACGTGCAAAAGTTTGGCGGAAGAGAACGGGGATTGGGGATATCCTGTGAAGCTGGCCAACCACGGACAGTTGCCCACGCAGTATGCTGTAGCACGCAGGCAGTCTGAGGCCCAGCCGTGATAAACTATAAGAAGCCAGGATCTCCTCCACCCGCGAGAAGCGGAACATTCTTTTCTCCCGCAACGCCAACCTCCCGTGCAGTCATGGAGCTCGACGATGGCAACCAACTCGGCAACATCCCAACACGGCCAATGCGCGTGAAAGTCCTCTATACATTCGACCTCGAGAACAAAACGACTTGTTTGGCACGTTTCCCGAATACTCTCGACATTCCTGCCGTCGCGATCGACGACCAGTCGCAGGTGGGCGTGATCGAGCTGGCTCAGTGCATAGATGCCATCATTGCTGCCTCGCCAGAAATCGTGTCCAAGCTGGATACCGGTGACTTCACGATATACGCGTACGATTACAGCGAATATGAGACGCCTCTTGTCGGTCAAGGGAGGTTATCGTCCCTGATCGCCAGTTCTGCTAGCGGAAACGGGCCAGCTCAGCAGAACAAGTCCATGATCACCGGACGAGTCTGCAAAAATCTGCCCGCTCTGTTCAGCAACGGCGTAAAGGAGACGCTAGAAGTGAAGCTGCGCTTGACACCAGTCGCTCAGGTCTCCAGGAGGGAGATGTCTAAGATGGATGAAGGTCTCCGAGGACTGAGTCCTGCTACGTCAGCTGGCTTCGATCCAAATGCATGGAACGCCTCAATACAACACCATTCATCAAGCGACAATTTCACCTTCGACCCAATGTCGACAAGCGGCGACACAGGAGCGTTGCTTGAAGACATTTTCGGCTTGACATCTGATTACGGATTGACGGCGGGCGGATCTCAACATGGAGTCATGGGCATCCCGGAGACCCCGACGAACAACAGCATTGCCGCGAACCCCGCATCTGGCGGCGCCTCTCACAGCGCTCCAGGCAGCCGTTCGGGAAGTCCAATGCTGCGCCCTGATTCGCACTCGCAGATCGAATCCGCCCGTCACCAAAGCTTCTCTGGTCGAACATTTGATCCCTCTGAGCAGTCACGATGTAGTTCTCGTGCTAGCGTTCGGAGCGAACTCGACGCGCCTTACCATCATCGACAAAATTCTGCTCAATCACAACCAGCACTTACACATTCACAATATGACGATTTCTTCGGCGAAGACAGTCAGTCCCGAAAGCGTGCGAAAGTGACCCAGGCAGATTGGCATGGTCGTTCGTCATTTGGAGCAAGGTCGGCCGATCTTCGCGTCACAGCCGCTACCGCTTCATCGATGCACATGTTCCGACCTATTGCAAAGCGGGCGTTCGGGTCAGCAGGCAGCCTTGACCCTCCTCCTCGAGTACCAACGCCTGTACCTCAACGCACTCGACTGGTTCAGCACGATGCAGCGCCCATCGCCAACCCTCGAAGCATGCTGCGACAAGCGAGCACCATCGACTCCGATTTCATGTCGGATGCTGATCCTATGTCGGATGCTATGATGAGCTCTCCCGAGGGTAGTTCTCCGGGAGAGAGCATGACAGCCGAAGGCACTCCAATGCATTTTCCATCGTCGCCACCGATTGTCCCTCGCCAACATCTGATCCAGCCCAGTAGTCCGAGATTGCCTTCACTGCCCAAGGCTCACATGGCAGACAGCGGATACATGAGCGAACCTATCCTTCATTCTGGTGAAGCAGCTCATAGATTTACTAGTGGCGAGAGTCAGAGTCCCTTTGCCGACGACAATCTCGCCATGGCTCAAAACAATTCACAAACATACGAGCGCGATACCTCAGTAAAGAAGGAGGGGTCAATGACTCGTAGCGTTTCTCCGAGACTGATGGACGTTCCAGCATCCAGCGAGACGACCATACAAATGGACAACATACGAATGGAAAGACCTGGGGATATGAACCGTCTTCCTCGTCGCGTGCTGCTCAACATTCCTCCGGCGCGACGAGGCTTAAGTCAGGGGTAGGTCACCATCGCAGATAGATGCATCTGCACTGCGCGTGTGTGCGCTGCCGTATAACCAGCTTGCTGACTTTCATGATCAGAAGTGATACAATCCGTACAGCATCGTCGCCTGCTCCAGCAATGCAGACCACCACTGCACCTCTTCCAGTTCCGATCACTCAAGCTTCGGCCCCTCAATCGCGGCGCGGTTCACTTGCTCTGCCGTCGAAGCCGCCCGGCTGCCCTCCCCCGGTGGAACATCATGCCAGCGTACCTGAGAAGCAGATTCGGCGGCCCTTGCAGCGTTCGCGCACGAACATGACCGAGTCTGACGTTGGATCACCATGCAACAGCGATACCGAAAGCCGTCCCCGGGGTGCCGCCCGATCAGGCTCAGCAGCGCCGCGACGCAAAGTCATTGAACGTCGCTTGCAGGAGTCACTCGCCAAGGGCGAAATGCCAGAGTTCTGTTCTCACTGTGGTGCCATCGAGACACCGACCTGGCGCAAGCTCTATGTCAAATACGTCGACGGGCAAAACACTGCCCTCGATGCCGCTGAAGGCGAGGGCGAGCTCATCGGCGTTCAAGCCCTGGAGAAGGATGCCGACACTGGCAAGGTCACGAGATTTGTCATACGCAAGATGTTGAAGAAAACTAAGGATTCACAGCCTGGCGTTGGCTTCGAAACTGCTATGGTCTGCAATCCATGTGGACTGTGGTTCAAGAAAACCAAGGAGATGCGTCCGTCCGAAAAGTGGCACAAAGTGACTGCACGACGACGCAAACGACAGCGCAACGAAGACGAAGCTACAGACAGCATGGAACCTGAGTCCGAAGCGTTCTTCACCGACCAGTTTGGGCCCGAGGATTCTGCCGAGGCATCAAATTCGGACGAAAATGCATTACCCACAGATGGCTCGCCTATCCGCAGAATGCAAGTGAAGCGTGTTCGATCTAACAGCATGCTTGCAGTCTCACGCCGCCCAGGCGATGAAACATCACTAGCAGCGCCGAGCGATGCCCGTGCGGTGCAGTCAAGTCCAGTCCGCTACAGAGGTTCTCAAGAAACGCCAATCGAGCTTGATCTGACACCTGCTCCTATCCGACGCCTCCTCTTCCCTTCGCCGCGCCAGGCTGGAATTTCGAAGAGTCTGGAAGATGAAAGTCCATCCCAGCGCAAGTCCGTTTCTCCATCCGAATCGAGCGGCCAGAAGCGTCGAGTTACCCCCTCGAAAGCCGCGATTGGCTCCAATGACAATGATCTTACGGTCTTCGGGGCTATGGCCTACGGGAAGGAGAACATTGAGCCCATAGATGACACAGATGAGCTGGCGTATCTTTTCGAATCGCCTTCCCAGGCGCTGTTCCGGACCCCGCAGCGCAAGTCTGCAACCAAAAAGTCGCCTCTCGCTTTCAATCCCAAGACTCCGACGCAGAGCACGCAGAAACGTGGCGTGTTCAGCCCAAATGTGAACGCCGCAAATGGTGCACCAGGTGGCGCGGACGGATGCGTTCTATCACCCTCCTCGTCCCGTTACTTCCTCCGCTCCACCCCAAGCCGGATCGAGCGTACTCCAGGTGGCCGCAGTCAGACCCAAGGACAACACACGACTACCCAGGAAATGACCCCGTTCACGCGTCATCTCGCAGATATGCTGAACGATGCCGCTGCTATCCAGGACGCAGCGTTCACGAGTCCAAGCCGGCAATTCGATTTTACGGATCTGCCAACCTTCAGCACTCCGGGCAGGGAGATGAATTGGAAGGAATTTGATGAAATGCTGAGTAGTGAATTCGCATAAGCAGATGAACAAGGTGGTGCAGGGCCATAGGAAAACGGCGACAGGACTGGCATGTGACCGAGATACGGCGCGGTGTAGTTGACACTCAATATTGCGAGACAATAGCCAATTACGGCCCTTTCAGCTTCGGTAGCTAATCGAATGCAAACGCACATCTTGGTTCATCATACAATGGTGCGCGGCGCCCTTCTTATGAAGCATTTGTTGATCATCGCTCATCGCGACCGACACTGTCGCACTGTTAGAACAGAACAATAAAGTGTATTTCGACTCGATCGTGGCGGATAACAATATTTTTCAGATAATTTTGCGTATAGTTTGTCTCCTCAATGACCAAGAATGGCCATAGGACAGCTCCAATATTTTGAATAACATCATGCTGGGTAGTGTTTTCGGAAATTGGAGACTCACCCAGTATCACAATGCAATGGCATTGGTTGCCCGAACATGACGAGAAAGGACTCTCCCTCAAAAATAGAGGGTCTACACTCCAGAGATCCATCCACGACCTTTCAGGACGTCAGCTGGCATCGTCTTCGAAGGCAAGCTTAGGCTTGCGCGACTTTTTAGGCTTTTTCGCGGTCTTCGAGATTGTGTCGTCGTTATCCGCGGCATCAGTATCGCGATCTAGGCTCTCACCAACCGCTTTTGCCAACTTTCGCTTCTTCGGAGCGAACGTAGCGGCGACATTAGAGACCACGCTGGGCCTGGAAGAGTCTTCGGCTTTTGCCGTCGACCCTGGTGGGATGGCAGCAGCATCGATCGTGGCCGAACGTTCATCCGCATCAGGTGCGCGGTCACTCATAGACTTGAGCTCTTCTCTCGAGAGTAACTCGCCGTGCTCGTCGACCACGGTGGGCTCATCCTCATCGTCCGCTTCACGGGTCTTACGAGGTCTGGCTATCTGGCGCTCGTGGCGATCGGTGTCACCTCGCCCAGCATTTTTGTCGTGGAGCTTCTGCAAAAATGGCGGGAGTGTACTGTCGTAACTCAGATCTTTGGCTTTGATCTTGCCGGACATGACACGCAGTTGCGCTTCATTCTTGGTGCAAAAGTGGTGTTGCACTGGATCGAGGGAAGAAAGGCCAATGTTTTTTCCCGCACACCGCAGCTTGTGGTTCAACGCTTGGCCATGCTACATTAGGGCAATGTCATCCCCGGCATCCGCCCGGATCGTCTTGAAGGGCTTCCATAAAGTCACGTGAATAGAGCTCGGGTCTGTGCACTCTGGGCGCCGACAGGTCGCTGCTAACGGGGATCCGACAGACGTGAACACTACCAGCCGCAACACAATCCGCGGTGCGCGAGCCTGCAATCGACATCCGACCAACTTCCAATCTCGCGTTCTTGAGCTGATCCGCCGTGGAACTCTGCAGCATTGTCGGCCGCACGCTGTCTGACTGACAGCCTTCTTGCGCGCCCACTGCCTGTGATCGATTGTCATCAATACGCCGGCTATTAGCTTGCGGCGTCGCTACCGCCGCAAGTCTTTAATCTCTCGTCACTCTTTTAGATCGCGTTCGCCATTGTCACACAACCTCGACCCTCATCACGCGTTGACCGCGCCTTTTGCGCTCTGAACCTTGCAGCGGGTGCCGCTCACCATCGGCATGGCGGACGGAAGTGCGGAATCAATTCAGCAGCGGATACAGATTGCCCGTAGGGACGCGGAGGCTCTCAAAGATAGAATAAAGCGCAAAAAGGATGAGCTCGCCGATACCACATGTAAGTGCATATCCATTGCGCGACCGGACCCACTTCGGCCTACCAAACCATGCGCTCAAGACGCCCCTGACCTTTTCATACAGTGCGCGATGTCGCGCGCCAGCGTACAGAGCAGCTTCCTCGGCTGGCGATGAAGACCAAGAGACAGCTCAAGGGCCATCTCGCGAAAATTTACGCCATGCACTGGTCGACGGATCGAAGACATCTGGTATCGGCATCACAGGATGGCAAACTCATAATTTGGGACGCGTACACGACAAACAAAGTCCATGCTATCCCGCTGAGATCATCATGGGTCATGACTTGTGCATATTCGCCGAGTGGCAATTACGTCGCGTGTGGTGGCCTCGACAACATTTGCTCGATCTACAATCTTGCGGCGAGGGAAGGTCCGACCCGGGTTGGACGCGAATTGAGCGGACATCACGGCTACCTGAGTTGTTGTCGATTCATCAACGATCGACGCATCCTCACCTCATCTGGAGACATGACCTGCGTTCTGTGGGACTTGGAGACCGGCCAGAAGATCACAGAATTCGCAGATCACCTCGGCGATGTCATGAGCCTGAGCATCAACCCCCTCGACAACAACCAATTCGTCTCCGGCGCCTGCGATGCCTTTGCTAAGCTGTGGGACATCCGTCAACAAAAGTGCGTTCAAACCTTCGCTGCTCACGACTCAGACATCAACGCCATTCAATTCTTCCCGAACGGCCACGCATTCGGCACAGGATCAGACGATGCATCATGCCGCCTTTTCGACATCCGCGCAGACCGTGAACTGCAAAGCTATACCGTGAGTATTCGATGGCGTTGTCTTCTAATACACAGCTAACACGACTCAGATTGGCGAACCGGCTTGCGGTATCACCTCCGTCGCTTTCTCGGTCTCCGGAAGATTGCTGTTTGCTGGCTATGACGATTTCGAGTGCAAGGTAAGAGGCAATTCGCGTGACGCTACTCTATGACTTTGCAATACTGACATCGCCTCAAGGTTTGGGATGTGCTTCGAGGCGAGCGAGTGGGCACGCTGCAAGGACACGAGAACAGAGTCAGCTGTCTCGGCGTTAGCAACGATGCCATGTCGCTATGCACAGGATCCTGGGACGCTGTGGTAAGTGATTATGTCACATGGTCTGAATTCTCTTTACTGATCAAATCCAAAGCTTCGCATCTGGGCATAATCAGCTGGCTCCGAATATTTACGAACTTCCAAAATTTCCTGACGAGAGCGCAAACATTGATTTCCTTGCGTCAAAGAGGGGATCGCGACAGCAGCGGTCTTGGCTTGCGATCAAAACCCCTGGAAGCTGTAACACCATTGTTTCAGTTATCACTATTCGGTGTGCTGTACGATTCAGCCTCACGCGCGGCGCCAAACGAAAGCGTATGTCCACCAAAGTGGTGATCAACGCAGCCCACGGGATTTAAAAGCCTATCGATTTCCGGAGGCCCCTCAGCAACTGAACCGTACCCGCATACAAGTTCAGAAACACGTTCCGGCAGCGGGAAATGTGGTCACCGTATGACATGTGCATGTGGGATCTGGTCGCATGGCACGCGTGGGAATGATCTTGTCTCATTTGTGCGGGTGGCAAACACGTTGTCACTGTGCGCTACACGGAGTCTGGATCGTAGAAACGGGACTGCGTTGTGAGATACCTTTTTGATTCTACTGGATGAGCGTCAATTGAAGAAACGTATCATGTACATTTGAATAGTAACTCCGTCTGTTATGCTTATGACGAGAGGCCTGGTGCTTTGTGAGCCTGGACACAGCTAGTGTAGACGTACTCTGCCAAGTTCCAATACAGCAGAGCTGCCCAGGTGTGCAGATATGTTGCTGTTGCCCACAGTGGCCGCCATCGAGGGAGGTGAGCGACGTCCAGGGTTGTAATGGGAGCCCTCCAGCTACACAGAGTTAAGCCGCGCTGTATCGACGCACTCCCGGGCTAGCACCCATGCTGAACCAGTGGCCAGTCGCAGGGCTCGAGGAACCTGATAAGATGGAAATCGCAGCCCCTCCTTTTATATTACAACGACGGGTTTCCGATCCTTAAGCTGAATCCTTCGCTGTGTCAATGCGTGTGGCAGGCTGCGGGATCACTGAAGGATAATCTCCATCGCAAATGGACGGCTATCTGGGTCACGACTTGCGAATGAAACCTGCATTGGTGAACCGCTTGTCTGTGTCATCCCAAAGCAAGTCCTGATATTCGACTGCCTTTCCAGAGGACAGTCTGATATTTCCAAGCAGATTCGAAGATCGCACTCCGTCCACAATCGCGGGACATCCAGATTGAGGAAGTGAGATCTGGAGAGCGCGCACAGGAAAGCCACGCTGCTCACATTGTACTTTGGTTTCACTGCCTCACTGTGATTGCCTACCATCCGTGACCAGCCAATGCGCATGTAGGCCAACCCCGCTGCTGACACTCACGATGGCTTCCGCACAGGAGGAATTCAATGAATTGATGAGAGACAAAGGTCACCGCGTCTCTCACCCCGAAGATGACGATGATCGTCGCTCGTCCTTAGACCCGTCCGACGAGGAAGACCATACACCATCGGGCTCGCAGCAAGACGAGGATGACCAGCCCGCCCCAAGACCAAGTGTTAGTAGCTATCGGAGCACCATCCCCACCACTCGCTATCAAGCCAACACTGGAGTGAAAGGCGTGATTGCGGACGCCCAGCACTGGCAAGACTCATGCCGTGACAAACGGGCCTCAGCCCGAAGCGTCTTGAATCTCTCTTCACAGACGCAGACTCTTACCCTGGACCACTCAGCACCAGCATCACATCTGCCGAGTTTGGACGAAGACGAGGACGGCATGTTTGACGATCTGGATGATGATTTCATGGATCAATGGAGAAAGAGTCGGATGCAGGAGCTACAAAGTGGGCCGAAGCAAAGCAAATCACAGGCGGATTTCGGAAGCGGGGGACTCTTCGGCGGTATGGTGACTGTCGACGGCGACGGCTTCCTTGAAGCAGTGGATAACTCTCAGGGCGCCGTAGTAGTGGTGTATATTTATGACGAGAAGGTGAGTCGTGAACAGACGAGAGAACCGGGTCCTGCCCGAGCTGATCAAGATAAGTCCGACGTCAGTACGGAGATTGAGCGGTGCCTGCGCAAATTGGCCGGCAAGCATCAAGACACTCGATTTATCAAGCTCCACTTCGAGGATGCGCAAATGGAGCCTGCCGGAGTACCGGCACTGCTCGCCTATCGCAACGGCGAAAAGTTTGCTGGCCTCATTCCCATCATCGATGAGCTTCCCGATGACGCTGACCTGAGCTCGACGGTGATCGAAGCAGTGTTACAAAGGTATCATTTCGATTGAATTAAATCCAGTCATGCGTGTTCACTGATGGTGTTTGCAGGCAACAGATTCTCAGATGATTGAGAACCCCTTCTCAGGCTTTCTTTGATCAATACATACTCGAAGCGCCTTCGAGCATGCATCTCAGCCTCGCACTATGCTGCAATCTCCTATAGTTGAGTGCCTCTCTCCGTTCAGAGTCACAAGTTCATTCACAAAATGGCATACGTGGTCGCCCTTTGGAGTCCAAGGCCTCGAGCCTCGGGCTGCGATGGCAAGCTTCTTGACACGCGCTCTCATTATCGCCATCTCCACGGGACGCTCAGATCAGGAACGACCAATCGCCGCTGGCATTATCTCCCGATAAGTGTAGGATCACACAATAACATGCGGACAAGCTTGCTTATTCAGTACTCTGCCTATGCCGTGTGCGCCACGGATGCGCATTCCCTGGTCATCGTATATAGGCAAACGTGCGAAGGTTTTCAGACTGCGCAAGTCGCTCGCTAGGATCAGAGATAGAACATGCAGAGCGGTCTCTTGTGGGAACACATTGGCACAATTCGCCCTCTTGAGCATCTAGGGAGCAGACTTATCTACCTCACAAACAATTATCTGGATAGGTAGGAGGAAGGTTGGGAATGAACAATACTGGATTCGTCAGGGCCACCAGCGGACATTCACAGATGTACTAGATCGTATAGCACTACAGCTTCGCCCGCGCTATTTCTCACGCGAGACAATGTTGATGACCTCCCAAATTTGACCTCGAAAACACTCTAACCAGCGACATCTGTCGGAACAACGAGTGCCAGCTTCGGTCATGAGATAGATAATTTCCGAAGGGCTGACCATATATTTACCAGCTCGCATGAATGTCTCAATGCCAAGGTCTGTGCACTACAGAGATCATATATTGAGGTAATGTGGATTTCGAAGATGAACGGCTGCTGACGACGAGTGTGGCGCAGGCTCCTTCTCCATCATCATTCGCAGGGGTAGCAGACCTGCAGGCGGACACTGCCGCAACCACGCGCGTTGGCGCCCATTCTATTCTGAGCCCGTATGTATGTCTTGCCTCGCAACGCCGCAATCAATTGAAATGCATGCATACGACTCAGCCGATACTGTACAATATCCTGTCATTGCCCTCATCTGTTCCCTTTCATCGGTCGTGCTCTGGGGTCAATAATCTTCACTCGGATTGGCACGTTGGACACAGGGTCACTGAAGCAAAGGAGCGAACCCTGCAACCTGGACCTCCGTTGGGACTTCCCTATCCTGGCCCCGCGAGGCAACATCGAGATTCAGACGTACGCTTTGATAGCGTTGTCGAAGAGCTGAGTGCAATTTCGAGGCAGACACAGTGTCAATTGGACACCTTCACAGATCGCGGCCATGGCAGCACGAGACTACTACAACTCGCCAGACCACACGGCGAATCCATATCACGATGACCCAAGCCGGCAAGAGCGAGGCGCTGTTTCGCCAGTGGGTTCCCCTTTCGACGACCACCACACCCATCCTTTTGCACGCCAACATACCGATACATCATATTTGAGCGCCAGCGCTCGATCACATGGCGATTCAGATCCTTTCGACGACAACAATGCGATACCTTTGAGTGGGCGCAAGTCAGGCGCCGGGTCCACGCAGACAATAACGCCAATGCTGCCTCCAGAAGATCCATTTGTAAGAGACGTAGACCCGCGCCAGAAACGAGGTAGACCGAGAAGAGGAGGATGGTTCACCGGAAAGATCACATGGGTGGTATACGTTCTCACGGTCGTCCAATTAATTGTGTTCATTGTGGAGATTGTTCGAAATGGTAATTCGATTGCACCTTCTCTTTAACAGGATATCGCTAATATGCTTCCCAGCGATGTTGACGAATTCCCCTATCGCGACAAAGCCTTCCTTCAACCCCATGATCGGCCCATCACCGTACGTTCTCATCAACATGGGTGCCAGATATCCGCCCTGCATGCACTACGTCGCAAGCATCCAAGAGAGCACGACAGTCATTTCATGGCCATGCCCGAATGCGACCGAATTGACTGGGCCGAGCGTCTCTTGCTCACTCTCTGATCTCTGCGGTTTTGGCGGCGTGCCTGACATCGTCCCCGGGAGGACTGACAACCAAGCACCACACCAGTGGTTTCGCTTCATCGTACCAATCTTCTTACATGCTGGAATCGTTCACATCGGGTTCAACATGCTTTTGCAGATGACTCTGGGCCGAGACGTAGAACTCCTGATCGGCAGCGTTCGCTTCGCCATCGTATATTTTGCATCTGGCATTTTCGGCTTTGTCCTAGGTGGGAATTTCGCCGCTGCTGGAATCGCATCGACTGGATGCTCCGGAAGTCTATTCGGTATCCTGGCCATTTCGCTGATCGACATCCTGTATACCTGGAAAGATCGACCCAGTCCCTGGAAGGACATCATCTTCGTGTGCATCGATGTCATCATCGCCTTCGTGCTTGGATTGCTCCCAGGCCTGGACAACTTCTCACATATTGGAGGTTTCCTGATGGGCTTCGTCTTGGGAATCTGTTTGCTGCGCTCTCCGAAATCGATCGCCAGGCGAACCATTCCAGAAGTCACCTACACCATCGCCTCTCAGGACAAACAACGGCATGGCTTGACCGCTTTCGCCAAGGACCCGCGGGAATTCTTCTTGCATCGTCGCGGCGTATGGTGGGCGTGGTGGATCCTTCGTGCCGCAGCTCTTATAGGAGTTACGATCTCTTTCATTCTGCTTCTGAAGAACTTTTACGTCTGGATGAATACTTGTTCATGGTGCAAGTACCTCTCTTGCCTGGATGTCAAGGTCGGCGGTACATCGTGGTGCGACATTGGCAACCTCCACTTCACACCGAACAACTCTACCTCGCCAGCTCGACGGGATTTCTTTCTCTCTAATGCCCCATCATCCGGGAGTTTTTGAAAAAAAGATTGATTGCTTTCTTCAGAATCGAGGGGGTTTCCCGGTTCCATGATGTTTTACGAGTATGATTGCATAGCGATGGCAAAAGTAGAAATTCGACGTCACATTTAGGGATTGTATACAACAAATTATTTTTATTTCGTGCGATACTTTCGATGTGATAATGGTGCTCACCGCCGCCATTGGCATGGGACCCTGCTTTCCTGTGCGAGGAAGAAATCTTGATAGAATCGAAACAGACCACATAATATTCATATACAAACGGATGTCCCAAATTATAGTACAACACAAGTTCAAAATCGTTCTATTAACAATTCTGAGCTCCACGCATCGAGTGCCTTCGCAACGCGATGCTCTGAAATATTGGAAATGAGACTAGCTCTGAAGATCACCTTCCACTGATACCATCTGTACAGGAGGGGAGTCTCAACCTCCCAGTACAGAGGGAAGCAACATATGCCTGAGAAGCGCAGCCGCTCACCACAGTCGGGTTGCTTCTTGTTGTTGTTTCGTGAGCTTTGTGGCCCTACCAGCGACCTTCTTTCGCCGTTCTGTCGGCGGCGCCGCAGGGTTCCTGAAGAACAAGCTGGGACCCTGGCCTTCAGCAACCGTATGGCTGAGGTAACCTCTCTTGGTGAAATCGCGGTAGTATTCAAAGTTCTTTCGGCTTGTCGGGTCCGGCAGGCGATACTTGTACTTTGATCTATCGAGGCGCGTGCCGGCAGTGCTCGTCTCCGCTCCTGTCTGTGCTTCCGGACCGAGATTAATGCGAGACTGTAAGCTGTGGATGGGATCCATCTCTCCTCTGACAATCTTCTTGACGGCAAAGTTGGTGTAGTATCGGGAGGTTACTGTGCCTCCGAGCTTTTCCACTTGTGCTATCGCCTCTTCACTGGCTCGAGAGACAACGATGTCGATTGGAGTTGTAAGTTCGGTTTTACCGCGTGCAAGCAGCTTCACGCCGTCTTTAATGCCCTTGACGCATTTGCTCTTGCTCAGCTCTTTGATCGTGATGGGCTTTGAAGGATCGATCCGGCCTTTATTTATCCATAATTGAATGGTGTCCAGATTGACAGGGTTGATCTCGGTTGAGAACCTGGTTGTACATTAGTCAAGAGGTTGAAATAGTACGAACGTTGTGCCGCGCGGTGCGTCTTACTTGTTTGTGAAGCCCTTCTTTCCGTGTACAATCCAATTCGGAGTCTGGCCTCCTTGAAATCCCACAGGCACTTTGCCATGCTGTTTCTGACCCTTATGACCGCGTCCAGATGTCTTTCCTTTGCCGCTAGATGGACCACGTCCACGACGGATGCGCTTGTTGTATGCGCCGGGCGTGTCTGAAATAGAGTTGAGGATTGACGCGAAGCGCTGCTGCTGCAAGCAAGGATAAAGAAATGGTGCGATTGGCTGGTATGTTGACGCAGCCGGTAATGCCACTTGGGCTCTCTTGAGCAGTTGCAGTCGTGGAGGCATGATGACTGTAACGAGGTGCTATCCTTCTATTGGAAACCCGTCACGTAGACATCGACTGTACAATCACAGTCGAATTGGTGGAAGTGAAGTCGGCGAACATCTCCTTTCGGATTAGCACAGAAGTCCGATGCGTCCTTGAACTGGGCAACTCCACCACAAATAGATTCTCTTTCTCAGTTCATCCCTATTTCGGTAACACAATTTTCTCACGTCGTGCGTGCGGCTCTGATCACGAATCAAATCTTTGTCGCCTAGACTGGACGAGACGAAGAGCCAATGAGCCACCAAGAGCGTTAGGACTTAAGCGACAAGATGCTGTAGCACGAAATTGCCTAACAGACGTGTTGAATTACATCACCGCAATGGCTCCTTAGGAGCACCCGGCTCCGTTTGCACAGTCATAGCCCATCAGCACTTAACGATGATTATTCGCCAGACTTGCAGCGAGTAATTCTAGTTTGAACGACAGCTGATTTTCTGGAGAGCATGAATTGGTACATACACCTACAATACGGGTTTACGTTCATGACAGGCTTATTCAACAAGCCCTCCATGCTCCGCTGCGGCTTCAGATGCTCTAACCGGCTCAAAAAGTTGCGAGCCAACGGACAACAAATCACTTGTTTCAGTCAAACCTCCACTATTCGTGCTGGCCAAGTGAACACGACTAGAGGTGAATCATGACCAGCGTCCTACTACAGGAGTATGATTGCGCGAAGCAGCATCGCAAGGTGAGAGGGAAGCAACTTGAGCCATGATACTACACAATAAACTCGACGATTTTGGGATACTCTAGGTCCCGCTGGCAAGGTGTTAGGGTCGGCGGGGAATTCATTGATGCCAGGAGCAACTCGCTAGCTCACTTCGAATCATTGCCCCCCCTATGAATCTTAACAGGCAGCCCGGTGCATGTCGCGTTGTCGGAGTTTCGTCAGAGCTACGGATTTCATGACCCATTTCGCTGTTCGGCGTCCCTGTATCTCGGAGCAACGACTTCGAAGAGTACCAAGGTGCCGATGACGAGACTGAGGTAGAGGCGAATGACCTGCGTCTCCTCTATTGAAACACACACCCTTAATCTGTAAAGTGCGCCTTCCTGCCGCGGCAATAATTGTAGTTTTGAGTCGTGACAAGGCTCACCAAAAGCGAACAGACACGCGCGGGTCTTCCCGAATTGATCATTTTCCGGCAAAGGGAGCAAGACGAGCCTCTATGGTCGACCGGCTGTGCTGGTGGGAAAGTTGGAAGAATTCGCGGGATAACCTCGCGGAATCGATTAACCTTGGAAGGACAATGTTCTGCTCCTACGAGGATGCAAATCGTCACCATTTACGTCGACGGCAGGAGGGTGTGCATGTACCATGGCGTGGGACTGAGCAAAATCGAATTCGCCCCCGCTCATCGGTGACTCGGCCTTCGATGATCTTGTGCGCGTGAACGGAAGGTATTTCTAAAGTGGATACCAAATTCTCCCCAGCAAGGATTTGTGTAAGTCGAGATCGTCAGGCGCTGTGATGCCAACATCGAGACCAAGAGTAATGATAACCACCAAAGAGGAGATGCCATAATTCGCGGCTGCTCGGCAAGTATTTGCAGTGCAGCTCGCAGGCGTGGATACACCAATCGGTCAATCAGGCATGAAATGGTTGGTCCTTCGAAGCGGTGGAGCCATTTTCAATGTACGTATGGAACCCCACCAACTTGAGGCGGCAAGCAGGCATGAACAAATGATGACAGTATGGTAAGGACCGCGCCGCCTACAAAACGGCTACGTTGACCTTCAGGAAGTGTACACTACGTAAGATGTCCCTGATGCAGTAGTCAATGCACTCTGGAGTTACTACCAAAATCGTATAAGCAGGGCCGGAAAGTTTGAGCTCGTTGGATAGAGTGATTCATGGATACTGAGGAGTGTGCTGCATGATGTTGACTCCCAGGTTGGCAACATGGTGGTAACGGCTGACAAGGACGGCGATCCGTTGATGCTGTAATGAGACAGACCTGGGCTGGCCTATTACATACCAAGGCCGTCTGCATGAGTCTCCCGTTTACCGCAGCTCTAGGTAGGCATCTAACAATATCACGGCATCAATATAATATTTTGGAAGCCCTAGCCGCTTGGCTTCGGGGCGGAATGGCGATGTACCAACTGGAATGTGGCGTGCGCGGAATAGTGGTCTCCGACATTTTCGCAGTGAAGAGATGGGCCTGGTTCTTCCCGAATCAAACCATGACGGTGCAGCTTCACTTCCCGGACCTCCTTGAAGTCAGAATCATCCCAGCATACAACAAGATGAGTTGTCCAAGCGCCGAGCTCACCACCCATGTGACGTGACAGTCAACAGCAGCCCATTGCACTCCGAGCGTGTGATGGGCTTTATCCGCCTCATCCCAACAACTATTTGGGACACAGTATCACAGCACTTCATGTGTGCACGGGATGATGCCGCGTGCAAGGATTTTCATTGAGATCAATATTGCACGACAATCGCAGTGAGAGCGCGACGCCAAATAATCACTCATTTGTCGATTCGCGTGGGCTGTACAATCTACTTGGCTCGTGATGTGAAGTATTTGGGGAAATCTGGCCGGCGCGCCGGAGTGGAGTAGTCCAACCCAAGACTGTGCATCCTGTTGTCGGGAACAATCAAGTGAAAGGGGATACAGAGTTCGAACGGTATACAATAGTGTACGAGAGTAGTCCAGAGCACAGTACGGACGCGCATCTCCACATTTGTATCGCTGAAGCCTCCAATCACATGATTAGTCGACACGCCGCGTCGTGATCGGAAAATTTGAATGAGCAGCCCCCAGGAGCATTCCATGGATGCTGTGCATGAAAGATAGTGTGGGCACCTCGATACGGGACCATAGGTACCCCGTCGTCCGGGAACTTGCAGGATTCCAGCGTCAAATCCCCGGAGGCTTGGCCGTTACAGTGCTGGACTTTGTCGGCGCGATGCAGGAGAGCGAGGACGGCAAGCTTGCACGCCTCGTTTCGTTCTCGTACCGCTGCAGCAGAGTTCGTCCCGTGACATGCAGACTCGTGGTCCATCGGACCCGGGTTTGGGCCCCAGACCTCGTCAGGATCGGCACCTCACCAGTATGCTGAGTCACTCACAGATCGAGTAAACTAATTCATGGCTCTTACGGCCTGCCTGGCTGGTAATTACCCCGTCCCCTCCAAACTGTTCAGATCACAGCAGACGCGAGGCTCGTGCACGGGTGTTCATTCCAGAGGATCACGAGCTCTTAGTCAATTATCTGGGTCGCGCGGTCAGACCACGGAGACATCGGCATAAGTCTGCGGTATGCGATATTGACTTCTTGCTCGTGTGGTTGACATCCATGGTGGTGCACAGTCCGGTGGGAAGTCGGTGTTTGCCCAGGTGAACACCCATGCTGTAAGTTGAACCTGGAGCCACTCCAGCAGCACGGGAGGGTGTATGAACTTCTCACAGACGTGCGCCTTGATGCAGGGTTTATCCGATCGATCAGAGAGAAACGCGGCCCTCCCGCCGACCGAATGGTCATCATCACTTGATAAAACGACACTAGTGTCGGGATAGCCGGCCGCCTGCGCGTATCTATCAAGGCGGCGGTGTGTTTGCCGAGAAGATTGAATTGTTACAAGCTGACAGCGTTTCGATCAGCCAGGAGACAACCAATTCAGGACGAGTGAAGATGGGAGATTCAGATGAATGGTGCAGAACGGCCACGCAGAGACAGAAACTGTGTGCCTCCGCCACCACTTCAGAGCTGATCGCGCCGGTCATCATGTTGGATCTAGGCGCGAGGGATAGTGGATGAAATGGCACGGATCAACAGGTTTCATCATATGTATCCAATCGACATGCTGACAGGTGATGGTGACACATCCGGGTCAGGGTAACGACAAGTCTCAGCATCCCAAGCTCGTCTCTCATGAAAAGCGACATGCAATCGAGTACTACGTAGGTACATGTACAACGCCAAAAGCAATGTTGCAGAGTTCGTCACTCTGGCTCAGCTCAACAAGATGGACCGTATGGCTTGGCGTAAGACGGCTAGCAAGACGAACACTACACACACCTGCGGCAGCGTAATGTGCCTCGGACACAGGTTCACATCGGCAACATGGTCTGCTGCCGTCCGCGGGCGGCACAGCTATTGTGTTCTTCCCAGGGAAATGGTGCATGTATGCCATGACTGTGTCGTAACACGCTTTCATTCTCGTTCCCTCACAGTAAGGATCATCAGTTGGAATTTCACTAGTGCCAATTCGTTCGGGATGGCTGACGTGTACGATCTTCCATTTCATTGTACATCAGGAATTCAACGTTACTCACACAGGGGATTGGCACACACAATCAGAAAGCTCTCCTGCATCCATATTATAACAACAATGGTTCCGACAGCGTTTGTGCTAGGAAATGCGTCGTCGATGGATGAAGCAATTAGCGTGACGTCCTCGCTTATCGTTGACGGGTCAACGTAAGCAATGTACAAGACTTGAGCGACACCTGTCGGCATGATGTTATCAACACCTAACTTTTAGGAAACTCCGCTCGGCTCCGCTTTGAAACATGATTTATCAAATGATATATCTCAGGCCGGGCTTTGAGAAAACATGTCAACCTGACCTGCGAACAGATCTGTGGTGTCCAGTCGCTACATTGTACTACAGATGCACTAGACACCATCAGAAGTCTCCAGCACACCTAGGCAAGGTATGCGCTTACCATTTCCGATATTACATCATCATCACAATGTGACGAACCTTGTGCAATGACGCCGCAGGCTTGGAGTCACAACGCGGTGGGAGAAAAAAAAAAGCCCAGTGTCTCGCTTATCTTACACATTCATCACGCTATGCAGGCCAGAGCAACACTAAGGAGTGACAGAGTTCAAAACTCGAGCAGGGGAGTCTGAACGCACGCTGCATCTCAAAGTCGGATGCGCCATCCTCGAAATCATCATGCGGGTGGAATGGAAGAAGCTGATCTCCACGCTAACAAAGCATGCATTCCAAGGTTGAATGGTGTCTACATAGTATCTACCGCCCTCTGGCTCTGGCAGCGTCACGCCGAGCGAAGAATGCCTACCCGGGTAAGTACGGTGCCAGAGTGGGATCATCGGTCATCAGCGCCCCATCGTGCCGTACAGTAGTTATAATTTGGTTCCAGTAACATCATTGGCGGAGTGCATGCCTCATGCTCCTACTATACTAATGACAGGCTGAAGGATCTATCATCTGTCGATGGATTGCAACTCAGCCGAATACACAGCAAACGCTGCGCTGTGGGTGTTACGCTTTCCGGATCCATGCACACCTGACGGATCTCGTTCGGCCGTGCTGCGGGATGTCAAGGCACAGAAGTGAGAAACTTGTCGCATCCACAGCAGCTTTCATGTCCGCCGCCGCCTCGAAACGTCCGCGCCAGTGCTAATTATTGAGATCGTCCACGGTATAGAGCATGGAAGGCCGAGAAACCTCCCAGGCTAGGTTCTTTGCTTCCTGGCACAAGAGCAGGGACGTGATTGACGCTGCATCGTGCAAACCGATATGCATCAGCGGCTCCGCATCACGATGGACTTTTCTTGATACATCGATGAGCAGAGCGGTTGGTAGAAATTCTACAATACATGGATGCGTGATGCATAGCGTGTTGTCTCGACGTCCACGATCACACAAGCGTCTAGGTGGCACCGAGCGGTACGGGTTTGTGGAATTCCACTGATGATTCGCGCTCTTTGCGTGCCCTCGGCGCGCCACCTTTGCACGCCGTCCCAGCTTCCCCCCTTTGCTTCTAATCCGTCACCGCATCATCACGGGTCACGACCGCCCACTGGGCACTGCGTCGTATTCTATCCGGGGCTGCGCACTGCTGCGCACTATTCGTCCAACAGCGGTGCGGCAAGGCCGCAGGTCCATGCCGTTACGCTCGTCTCATATGGATATCCCTTCCTGCGTGGGTATCCCGTTGGCCGTGACCAATGTTTGAGGTACACTCGGTCACGGCTCACGCATAGTCTGGAAGGGGAGCGGCGGGAAAGCTTGAGCCCAACCAGCCAGTCAGCCGGCCTACAGCTCTCCGTTGGTAAAATCCAAGTCCACCTGGGCGACAGTTGAAGCCTGCACTGCGCAGCGACCGGGGCCGCCGTAGCAGCCAGCCAGCCCTCGAGCCCCACGACATGCGTCCATCCACCAATCTAGCTTTCGGCCCTGTGCTGTGTGCTATGTGCATGTACAGTGTAGTCCGCCCACCCGACACCAAGTACATGCTCTCTTTGTGCATGTCGTGATGTCCTAGATCACCGTTCCAGGCGTCTTAGTCCGTGGGCGGACGAATCATGGGTCCCTTGGAACTCAGGCTGGGTCCTTTTGCACCCGCCATGCTCGCCTTCGCTTCTCCTCCCCCTAATCTCCTCGCCATGGTCCACCTGCAGGTTGTGCAGACTGGAATTTGACCGATGGCAAATCACGCTCGCGGCAACATGTCTGCCTGCCCGGAGAGTTGTGTGCGAAGATGATCTTGATCGCTTGCCATTCCACCTTGCACTGCATCATTGCAACCTCTCGCAAGCTTGGGCCTGAAGGGTCAGGGTCACACTCCGACCATCGGCGCAATGCATCTAATGAGCCAAAACGAAAGCCGCCGTCTTCTGTACGGCCTTCCAACGCTTGCAGCGTCCCGCAAGCACGATGTGCAGCGATAGGGTTCGGCGACCGCAAACGCCGCAACTGCTGATCACACCAGAGACAAATAACGTCTGTGAAGCGAGGCCACTGTTCCGGAAGGGACGGCGCTATCGACAAATAACTCGATACCGGCAAAACAGGGCGTTGAGGATTTGGCTTCGATTCGCAAGTCTCAGCATACTGTAATAATTGTTTTTCCATGTCGTGCTACTGGTTGACGAAGGTTTCCGACCGAGAGCTGACCTCCTCCAAGGTTGTGCCTTGTAAATTGTCGTCCGCCATAGATTGCCCGTTGATTACGACTGTCGCCCGATCACTCAATCTCGGCAGAACAAGTCTTCGTCTCCACCAGTACATGCTATGAGGGCTAGAGACACTGGTTCACAAGCACAGCAAGGTAGCGCTCTCGGGTCCATGGATGGGATCGATCACATTGCACCGGCTGGCGCTCCCTGATTCGTACACGGAAGGCGTGAAAGGCCAGGCTGGTGAGTTCAAGGGTGGCCGAAGGCTGTGCGCGCGTCGCCGTTATGATGATCGATGGCGGTATAGTCCCGTGCCGCGTCTTCCTGTAGACCTAGGTACAGTAGTCAGTCATGGTCCGTAACAGCCCTTCTCGGGGGTACCGTTTTCCACACTCTGCGCAACCAAGTAGTCCATCATCATCAATGCTTTTCCGGATGACTCGCGCGTTTGCACTACCATCTCCCCTCCCCCCCCAAAACCCAAATGTGAGCACCACACATCTGCGCATGCACACACGCCCACGCACACACACATGCGCGCGCGACCACACATACAAGGTTGCACACTGTCCACTGCCAACTGCCACTGCCACTAAATAAAACTCTACCCACATGTCCACCACCGTCGGCTGGGGGCCAGCTCCGCATTTGAAAATTGAAATCCCATGTCGACGTCCTCGTTCGGTGCGATCAACCGGGGCAATCCTCCTTCTCGGTGGTCGTGGTGTCGTCCGCGCAGTTCCACCGTCCACTGACGCACGGCCTCTCTCCCTCTCATACCACACTGCCCGCATGCCTGCACGTCTGAGAGTGTATCTCCCTAGTACTAATACTGAGTGTGTGGATGAGAACGTCTGTGTGTGAGCAGAACGAGAACGTTTGTGTGTGTGTGCGCGTAGCACTATACACACACACGACCGGAGGGATGATGATGGCGGTTACGATGGTAGTGGTGGCTGTCGGTTTGTCTCCTTGCATGCCCGAACAACGATGAATTTAATCCAGTGCCAGTCTCATCCATGCCTTCGCTAGTTCAAACCTACAGTACGGTTGAACACCGTAGAAATCCTGCACACACTCTCCGTCGCCATTACACGCATCTTCTCACACACTCACACACTCACACACAGGTCGTTCCCTTCCAACCTTTCTAAAAATCGACATGGTACAGGTAATGACACGGCGTCGACGGCGTGGGCCTCTTGTTCGCTGTTTCATTGCCTAGTCGTCCTCTCCCCTCTTGAGACGTCCTGCCACGGTTGCCTCCACCAAGATCCACACTGCACGCCCGCACCTTCATCACTCGCACGCACCTTGCGGCATCGACACACACACGCATACACACACGTTATCCTTCCTTCTCCAGCGTCACCATCGCGCGTGGTCACACCTACACCATTTGCCTCTTGATGAACCCCTGCAATAGCAATAAGGGAAAAAATGACCAACGGGGCGGTGATGGATGGTGCTTGAGTCTGTCTGTTAGCCCTACCTATCCTTGGAAGCATCGTTAGTGACCATCATCTTCATCACTGCAAGAAATAATCAATCTTCATTCTACTTGCCGGCTCGTGACGCAACTTCACTTGGTCGTTCCATCGTCTTTGACCTTCCACAAACACGTCCCTTTGCTTCCACTCAATCGATGCTTCCGGAACGACATTCGTATGCACTCATGTCCGATTTGTACCTGCTCGAATCCCTCAGTTTGAAGTTCCTTTCATGACGACCACTTCTTCGCCAACGCCTTGCATGAATGTCGACTCATCAACTCGCCCTCGACCTTCCTGTTGGTCTAGAGTACTGCCTATCGATCGTTCAACCCGACAGGTCGACCACTTTCACGCTCCGTACAGTGTCTATCAACCTCACCTTCGATTTGCAAGACCTTTGACTCCACCGCCAGAGATGAATGCCATCCAGACATATCCACATCTCGATCACTTTCGAGAAGGGCATGGCCATCGTTTCAACGATCACGTGTGTGATCCAACGCTCCACAAGTCGACAACTGTACCTCCAGTTGCCTTATCCCAAATCGATCAACATCCAGTTGCTTCAAGCACAACTCAGAGGCAACCCTCGCCTACCGGGGCGATAGTGAGGGCCAGCACCGTTGTCAGCAGTTTGGGCCATCATTTACAAGGAGTAACTCATGTTCCGGCCGCTTCCTCGAGCTCCCCAACTCCAATGTCAACCGCCTCCCTTGATGACGGTCTTCATGAGCTTGCTGCACAGGTCAGTCGGCATCTTTTCCTCCGAGAGCACAGCGTTGTCATACTGACAGCTTCCAGATCACATGCTTGTTTTGGTTTGAGTCGTTTGATGTCCTGGAAGCCGTCGAAACCTCCCCAGATGGCTACGTTCTTCAGCGGCCGCTCTCATCCGATGCCAGGCCTACACTAGAATTCCGCAAATGGGTGTCTCACGTCCTATCGACCACTCGCGTCGCTGACAATGTGATCTTACTTGCCCTGCTCTTCATCTTTCGTTTGAAGAAACACAATCCAAAAGTTCGAGGGAAGTCTGGAAGTGAGTATCGATTACTGACAGTAGCTCTGATGCTTGGCAACAAGTTTCTGGACGACAACACTTACACCAACAAAACTTGGGCTGAGGTGACCTGCATCAGAGTCGAGGAGGTCCATATCATGGAGGTCGAATTTCTCAGCAATATGCAGTACTGTCTGTCCACATCAGAGTCGCAGTGGAATCAATGGCGATCTCTACTGTCCAAATTCAACGTTTTCTACAATAGAGCAAGCAGGCCGCCGCCTGTGTATGCACCAGGCCTTGCCGTGAGCTCGACAATGCTTCTGCCGCGCCCACTACCCTCGCCACCAGTATCCAACAACGCATCACCTCCGTCCGCGTCATTGACGACGCTTCACGCGGCAGCAGGGCATGGGCCACTGTCCATTTATGGACCTACACCGGCTCACTCGCCACTGAACACGGCGAACGATGTCAATGCATACCTCGGTCCCAATCGATCTCGGAAGCGAAGCATTGATGAAGCAGCATACGAGCCTCCAGCCAAAAGGCTCCCAACTGGAGTGTCCAAATACACGTCGCCTCAAAGACACCACAACTCGGGTCCACCATTTGCATCGGTCCAGCCAGTCCCGCGCCTTGCACTCCCGGTTCCGCCATCGGCGAATTGTCCAGCTCCACTCCTGCCTCATCACAATCAACAATATTTGCCATCTCTCCATGCGCCCGTCAGAGCTTTGACAGCTGCCGAGCAAGCCACAATTAGCCACAACCAAGCTACCATGCTACCCGTTGCTACTGCGCCGTCTAGCCAGATTCCGTCGGGATCGATTACCCATGTACAGAACAAGTTCCACACGCCTATTTCATATCCCACCAATATCGCATCGCCGAACCCTTCCATGGTTCCGGTGAACACGACGACATACCAATCATCGCAGGTCTCACCATCGTACTTCTTACGGCAGCGAACTTCACCATACAGGCCAGTGCATCGTGTGTCAACGCTGCTTCACCCACCTCCTTCAGCTGCTCTACAGGGTCGGCCGAGCAATATCGATCTCAACCGGATGCAGTATCAGCCGCTCGGCCAGCCAGTCCAGCACACGGGTCGTCTACCTTACCTCGCCCAGAACCAATGGCTGGATGGCACGCATCCTCAAGACATGACGCCTGTACATCGTTGGCCCGGCTTCAACAATGCTCAACAGATGCCTGCCAAGAAGCAGTAATGGCTCCTGCCGATGGCACGTTTCTGTTTACAGCTTACGGGCATTTCTTTCCTCTTCGGCTTGTGCAGAGCACACTGCAGTTGCCTCATCTACATATAACGAATTTTGTTTCCGTCTTCGGTTCACTAAGGACATCTGCGCGAGATCACAGCAGTGGACTTTCATGGATCGTTGCCTTTGCGGGCCGCTTTGAGGCTTCGACGTCGGCAGCGGTTTGCTTTGACAGTAAAATAATTGCGCATTTCCTGCATCAGCATAGCATAGCATAGCATCGCGGCATCATGAGGAGTTTGGGTTTCGCATGATTATCAGTTTTGGGAGAAAGTTATTCCGGAGGCCTGCATGAAGTCCCGGCCTGCCTAGGCAATTCAGATATAATCATTTTTCGAAGGATCAAAATGGGTATCCCTGTGTCGGACGAACGTCGTGCGGAGATCAGACAGAAATATTCAGACCACCACAGAAGTGGAAGAACAGCCGTGAAAGCGGTGACCAAGGCTATTGTTATCTTAGTTGATAGAGCCGAGTTCACCTGCATGCCCTCTGCTCGATACTTCAGACAATGACATGTCAGAAAATTGCCATGTGATACCCAACGTGCACTTCCGTTAACATTTTCCAAGCTGGAGGTTGGACGTCACGCACACCTAAGCATGCAGGGATTCATGATGACCAAACAGTCGGAGACACCCGAAAGCTTGGGCCGCGGTTAAGTTTGCAACTTCTTGGTGGATTTCGGAGGGAGCTGGGGAGTGCACGAGCCCCTGAGTGTGAGTGCCGCGTCTTACATCTCGTCACCTCGTCAAGGTTCTTCTTCTGCAAATATGGCAACTACCTGCATGCAACCGAACTGCCCAGGTGTGGCGCGGTGAATGCCCTGCCTCTCTAGGTATGCAACTGCGGTCTTTTGGTTTCAGAATCTGAATTGACCTGCACTGTGGCATTCATCATCCAGCAATGATAGGAGCTTCCGATCCGGTTAGAGTGAAGCCTAATGATTAGAGGCAATAAAGCTGGCGAGGAGCATGGTGATTGGTGCATGCAGATAATGAGAGGCCCGGACGTTCGTTCCACCCAAAGCGTTGCTCCTCACGCCTGATGTCGCATTTGCGCTTTGCCAATTTGGGACGCCCGCTTGACTTCTGTCTCGCAATCTCCGCACTTGCTTTCATTTCTTCGCCCTTGCCCTTGCTCCTACGCGGCGCCTACACCTTCATCGCTCCGCCCTCGCGACAGTGAGGTCAGCTTCTTCCGCCAAACACACGCCCACCGCCCAAGTCTTGTAGCCAGGCGCGCAAGACATCCATTCGCTATCTGCCTGTAATTGTTCGACTTCGACAACGCACTCCTTGGCCAGATCACCGGCTCGCGTCGCACCTGCTTTGCACGATCGCACAATCGCACCACGCGAATCCCACACAACACGACTACATTCAACTCCGCCACCGCAACAGTCGATCCGATCATTGGAGCTGCAAATTCAGTAAAACACAGCTTCATTCATCCCTGGGCAAGGACAGCTGCCTTTCCGACCAACTAGTAATCACCGGCTTGCATTCGCCATCGTCAAACGCACACCATGCGGTTCTCCAGTTCACTCCTCGCGCTCGTGGCGGTATCCTTCTCGGGTACCTCGCTCGCCGCATCGCTTTCCGACTTCCAACCAAGCGTGAACAACCTGCCTGGAAATTGTCAGACAGTATATACTGCCGCAATAAGTGGATGTAGCGGTGCGGATTTCGGAGGGAAATGCAGTCCAGCCTGTATTAAAGGTCTTCAGTCGATGACCTCGTTCGTCCAGATGGCCTGTACTGGCATCAACTTTCAAAATCAGAATCTGATCTCTGTTTTCCTGTCCGGCATGGGACCTGCGAGTCTGTGTCCAAACCTGGGTGCATCTTCTGGCAACAACAGCCCGACTACCACCTCTCAGAAAACAACCACATCTGCTGCAACCACTTCGCCGTCGACAGCAAGCACCGGGAGCACGCAAAGCACGGCATCTACAAATTCGTCAAACCAAACAACTTCCAGCTCGCCAAGCGCAACCAGCACAGCAACAAGCTCGACCAAGACCAGTCCAACGACAACTTCGGCAGGCCAGACCAACGTGCAGACATCTCCGACAGCCTCGCCGCCAGCATCAGCACAATCACAGTGTACCAGCCGTGGTGGCGGTGGCAGTCCGTTCGACATTCAAGGAACCCAGTGCTCATCCGCAAGCAGCCTTACTACCTGGACAGGAACTACCATGCTGCTGGCAGCATTGATTGTCCTGGTCGTACTATGATCGAGAATCACCTTTCTTACGCCTAATAACACCCTGGCCCCTTGCCGCACCTATGCCGATCAACGACTTCTCCGTCGCTCACGAGCAACATTCCGGCTTCACGCCAGCTATACAAGTGCGGAATTATTGAAGATACGCCCCCCTTCTGGATTACTTTTTGTTTTGTCGATGCGCCATTCAGCGTGCGAGGTCGCCGAACCGCGGCCCTCTCTTGTTCTTCTTGTTCCTTATTTGTCGCCTGGCTTTTCTGTGGATTTTGTTCAAAGGCCGTATTTTGTTTATGATGCTTGTCTTTTTTCGGCGAATCAGGTGCTTGGTATGAGATGTTGCTTTGGAATGGAGGACTCGCAAAGACAAAATAGTAGACACGAACGTTCACAAAAGTCCATTCCCGTGTAAAAGATGAGCGTGGTCGTTCGCAGGTGTAGGACGAGTACATTGAGCTCGAAACCTAGATAATCCCCCTCCTTGTGGGAGTCATTGGAAACCGGCGTCAAGGCGTGTAGGTGTTCAGGTGCTCCCCATGATATCTCGCTCCCCGGGCTCCGTGAGCACGTTCATGCTGGCTGCAGACGATCCCCGTTATTGGCACATCAGTGAAAGATCTTGGCACAGGCGACAAAGACACGCCATTCCGGACTTGCAGAGCTTAGCAGAGAAGCATCGGAAGGAAGCGGTGCACGTGCTGAGGGACCTCGTCCATGGGCCTCTGTGAGAAGTGAGAAATGCAAAGTCCATTCAAACCACAGGCGATACACTGCTCTTCTTTAAAGCGCGCGGACGAATATATCCGAGATATGTTATTACATGTTGCAAATCATACATCAGACAATCAGCCCGTATATTAAGCTGCAGCGAATGGAGGGGGGTTGAGATCATCAATGAAGAAGCCTATCGCACCCGGGATATACACATCGTTGGGAATTTGCTCGGCTGCCCTCGGAGGTTTGCGTGGGTGAGTGGGTGAATGGGTGAGCGCCCGGGCGGGTGATTGTAGGCGGGCAACTGTCTTTCCTCTCCGTCCGGCGATTCACGCTGAGAGGGAAGAGAGAGAGAGAGAGAGAGAGAGAGAGAAATGACGCATGGGAAATGTCCATCATCATCATCATCATCATCATCAATCTCTCATCAATTGCACATGAAATACACCTGCAGTGCTGTAATGTACAGCCGGTACATGCCAGAGTTTCGATTTCCCGGCGGATGACAGGTGCCAGACAGCTTGTTCGGCGGCGGTTGGGGGCAGTTTCAAGCTGAGAGGCATAATAAGGCCGCTAGGCAAGAAACACCGCGATAAACTTGCCGCAAAAGCTCAGGCCCCAGTCTCCTTCGGGAGTCGGGCCATACAGCAGCATTATTATTATTATCATCGACAGTCACCACTCCTGCTTTTTCTGAGCTGGCCGTGATTCTACTGTTGAGCGATAGGAACCCACCACATCTAATCCTCGCGGCGTTCTCACGCTCGCATCCATTTCCTTCCCTTCCCTTCTTCCTCGTTCACCCTCTCATCTCCACTCCGAATGGCGTTCTCAATGGCCGCCCGGCCCTCGGTCACCCGAGCTCTCGCTTCAATTGCACCGGCGACCAGCTTCAAGCGCGCCTACACAGTCGCACAACGGCAATCGGCCTTCCAGTCACCCGTCAGGTCCGCCATCAAGTCCTCCCATGAGTCGTCAATCCTCCAACGCCTCAACGCCTCTGGACAATTCCGCCGCGTGCACGCAGAGCTGAGCCCGAAGCCGCCGAAGAAGAAGGCCGGATTCTTCCGATGGCTTCTGCGTCTCACATATCTCGGCGTCATCGGCGGAGTGGTCTACACTGGATATGGCATCTACCAGAACCGCCATCCTATCGAGCAGCAGGCGCCTGATCCGAGCAAGAAGACCCTGGTCGTGCTGGGCACCGGCTGGGGTGCAGTGTCTCTTTTGAAGAATCTCGATACCGAAAACTACAATGTCGTCGTCATCTCCCCGCGCAACTACTTCCTGTTCACTCCTCTCCTGCCTTCATGTACCACTGGCACCATCGAGCATCGCAGCATCATGGAGCCTATCCGCAACTTCTTACGCCACAAGGTCGCCGCTGTCAAGTACTACGAAGCCGAGGTCACCAAGATCGATCATGAGAAAAAGGTGGTGTACATGAGCCCTGATTCAGACTCTGCCGGTCAACTTGGTCAACAGGAACTCGCTTACGATATGCTGGTTGTCGGCGTGGGTGCCGAGAATGCAACTTTCGGTGTCAAGGGCGTACGCGAGCATGGATGCTTTCTGAAGGAGGTCGGCGATGCGCAGAAGATTCGCAAGCGCATCATGGACTGCTGCGAAACTGCCACACTCAAGGACCAATCCCCTGAAGAGGTGAAACGCTTGTTGCACATGGTCGTAGTTGGCGGTGGTCCAACCGGTGTGGAGTTCGCCGGCGAGCTCCAAGACTTCTTCGAGAACGACCTCAAGAAATGGATTCCCGAAATTGCCGATCACTTCCGTGTCACTCTGGTCGAAGCTTTGCCCAACGTCCTGCCCATGTTCTCCAAGAGCTTGATCGAATACACCGAACAGACCTTCAAGGAAGAGACCATTGAGATTCGCAACAAGACCAGCGTGAAGAACGTCACAGAGAAGTACATTGAGGCCGAATACACCGATGCGAACGGACAGAAGCAAGTCGAGAAGATCCCGTACGGCCTTCTCGTTTGGGCCACTGGAAACGCCGTCCGCCCGGTAGTCAAGGATCTCATGTCACAAATTCCCGCCCAGAAGGATTCCCGTCGTGGCTTAGCTGTCAACGAATATCTTGTGGTTAAGGGCACCGACAACATCTGGGCCGTTGGTGACTGCGCTGTTGCTAACTACGCTCCAACTGCTCAAGTCGCAAGTCAAGAAGGAGCCTTCCTGGCCCGGTTATTCGGACAGATGGCAAGGACGGAAGAACTCGAGTCGCGTTTGGCGCTCCTCTCCGAGGAGCAGAGCCGCGCGGCCAAGAAGGAGGACCGTGACGAAATTCTTCGTGAGATCAAGGAGCTGCAGCGCCGCTTCCGTCGCGTCAAGCAGATGGGTCCCTTCGAATACTCGCACCAGGGCTCTCTGGCCTACATTGGCAGCGAGAAGGCCGTTGCCGACATCTCCTGGCTCACCGGTAACTTGGCCAGTGGTGGTCAATTGACATACCTGTTCTGGCGGTCTGCCTACCTGAGCATGTGCTTCAGCAGTAAGTGAAATCCGTGAACACCAGCAGTTTCGCTGCGCAATATCTACATGCTAACTCTTCTCCCTCCTTTTAGCGCGCAACCGAATCCTCGTCATCATGGACTGGACCAAGTCATACCTGTTCGGTCGTGATGTCTCACGGGAATAGATGTGACGCTCCTTGTGGCGGAAAGCCTCCGAAGCGCCATATCCAATGCTAGACTTCTTTCTCTTCTTGGCCTCCCAGCACAAGCCCGTTCCGCAGCCTGATTTGCGCTGGAGGTGTGCGACCGATGCAAGGCTCTGTATTTTGATATAGATTATGATACTTCTTCCCGGCTCGCATGCATCGTCGGACCTGAGCACAGACGACTTCCAATGGTCGCGGTGGGATTGCTGGATATCTAGAGGAGTGGCTGCGCTTCTTGCGCGCGCGCGTTAGCGATAGATAGAATGGTATTCAATATGTTCTAATGAACTGCCCTGCCTATGTGTTGACATGTGTTATTCCTGATCTGCACCCAGTTGTCTCGCAATAGAGACGGACGACCTTCATTGGAGTCCAACGCACGCACTTGTTCTACGTTTATGCTGAACAATGAAAACTCCCTGGATTGCCAGACTCGACAGATTTCGCCTACCACAGACAGACCTGTGCGCGAATCAGAGATTGATGTCGCCTCATTCGTAGTCACCACACGTATGGCAAGTCAGTCCCAGGTTCCAGTATCCAAAGGGAGATTCTTGACATTGTGCACCAGTGAGATGCCTACCCCAACGCCAACCCTAATACACAGCGAACATTAGGGTATTGCAGGACGCGTCTCACAGAGCACCTTGCCCGACTGTGCAATTGCACTAATCGAACGACTGACAAATCATATTGAGAAGATATGGCTTATTATTGTTTACCAATTCACAGATCGGCCATGTAAATATTCGTGACGAAATCATAATTTCATTATGCCGAGCATTTTTCAGTGGCGTGTCTAAGTTTATGCAGCGCCTCTGTTCGTCAGAACACTCCCCTGGCGCCGCGCCAATATATCCTGGATGTCTGTCCCATTCCGATCGACGACGGTATGCTCTTCTGTCTGCACAACTGCAAACCCTTTCGGTCCTGGTCCGTGACCGTCTTCTAGCGTGCGAGGACGTTCTAGTAGCTCCTGCACTGCCGATTCGCGCGCGCGCTGCTCTTCTGCGTCCCGGCGCAGTTCTATGCTGGACTTCTTGGACCCATGGTCCCAACCCGCCTGCATCCAAGGCGCACTAGCCTCCTCGAAGCGCCTGCGGACGTCAAGGTCCTGCTCAAGCGTTTGGAAGATTTCGACGTCGGTCGGCATGATTGCTGATTTGATTGCGCGGACGGCAATTTCGAAGAGCACACAAGCCGAGACGGATAGGACGAGGACTAGCCACCAGAGGGCACTGCGTCCGAAGCGGGTCAGGAAGCCGCCCTTCACATCGTATTGGTTGTTCTTCCCGTAGATGGCAGAGAGGATGATGTTCCACAGGAACCAGCCGCCGACCGATGCGAAGATTGCAATAAAAGCCATGTACGACCGGTATCGCTGCTCTATGACCTGTGTCTTGATCGCGATGACAATCACACAAGCAGTGAATGTCAATTGACCAATGGGGAAAAGGCCCGGAACTTGAAGGTAGCCGGCGCGGGCATAAAGTTCCGTCATGCTAAAATAGATGATCAGAGCATCAGCGAGACCCATGAGGATCCACCCACTGAAGACCCATAAATTGAATCCAAGCGAACGCTGACCCTTGGTGTATAGCTCTGGCACGGCGATGAGTGTGGAGGCACGAAGGTCCTGCTCGAAGACGCCCAGGAAAATGACGACCAACGAGGTGAAAAGCGTATTGAACATGCTGAGCGACCATTGCTCATACAACGAAGTGCCTGCGTATGGCGCGTCAGAAGATCGGTTCATTGCCGGTTCCTGAAACATTTACCGATGAGGATGAAGCTTACCTGTGTACCCCGTGTAGTGCTGGTAGAAAGCGGCGGTAATGAAGAAGAGAAACTCCTTCCAGAATGTTGCCAGGGTGTACTTGCACGTTCTGACGTAGTTCCAACGACCATGGACGAGCAACAATTTGGTGAGGAAGCGAAACTGAGCAATGGCATAGTCTGAGGTTCGAGCGGCCTGCAAACCCTCCTTGCCAGTTATGCCTATTCCGACATGGGCTTCTTGGATCATCGCGATGTCATTCGCACCGTCTCCGATAGCAAGTGTGACACTTCCTGGGACACGCTCGCGAATTGCGTTCACAAGTCCGGCTTTTTGGCTCCTAGAAAATGTTAGAATGGATAAGCAAATTTGGGATATTATGACTTACGGCGAGGCCCGGCAGCAGATGACGGAATCTGCAAGGATAGCAAGATCGACAAATAGAGTAAGCAAAGTCATATCGTACTCAATGTTACCGAGCGTCTGACCATCGATGACCACAACTGAGTGTGCGATGTCACCACGGTTGATGTCAACAATAGACTGTGCGAGGTTGTGCTCGACATTACCAGCCTCATGATCAAGTACAGTGAGCGATGAGTAGTCCTTGATGAGTCCACAGGAGTGGCCAATGTTTATGGCCGTTTCTCTCTTGTCTCCAGTCAGCATCCACATCTTGATATTCGCGCGCCGGAGGCGGTCGATCGTCTCGGGCACTCCTTTCTGTAGCTTGTCCTCGATAGCGGTGGCGCCGCCGAGTTCTAAATGTTGTTCTATGAGCTCACCAGCCCGCTCGATGAGCATCTGTCGATTCACTAAAGAGGTCGTCGCGTCATGGTAAATCTTTTTCCACGATCGATACTCCTGCTCATCAAGGAAGCGATAACCGTAGAGCAACGTGCGAAGACCTTCGGTTGCGAAATCCGTGACGTGCTGTAGGCATCTCTCGAGCTCTATAGCTTCGTCTGTCGTCATGGTCTCTTCAATCGCGGCCATCTCATCATCTAGCTCAGAGAACGACATCTGCCGCTCTGACAAAGCCATGGATGGTCGTGCCGCCACTGGTAGTGTTGGACTCACAACAACATCGTTTTCACGCTCGTTGAGCCAGCCATCAACATCATCACGAGTGGTCACAAGGCGAGTCATACTAGATCTGTTAATCGGGGCATTGCCGTGGCCCAGGGATACGCTGGTGCGTGGAAAGGTGCCCACGCTTGCCTTTCGCTCAAACTGACTGCTTTTTCGTCTCAAAGCTTCCTCTGCCTCCATAGATTTGCGATCCATGACATGCTGCTCAATCTTGTTGAGAACGTGGCTCGCAAGGTTGGACTGACGTAAGCGGCTTATGATTACTGAATCAGCTCCCTTGCAGAGCACCGAAATGCGGCCATCTGGAAAGCGAACAACCACAGACATTCGCTTTCTTTTGCTCGAGAATTCAATGACATCCATAATGTCATAAGTTTCGTACACCGCATCGCTGGAGTTGGCGCCAGGGAGCAATTTCAGTGTCAGTGTGGCAACATCACGGGAAAATGCGAGGAAGCCGAGCTCTTTGGCAGCCTCGACCAGCGCGAGCTCGTCGGGTGAGGATGCCTGAAATGTCACGTCTTCGTCTTTTTCCCCATTTCGTTCTGGGAGACATGTATGGCAGACCGCCATGGAAATGATCATCATTTTCAGCCTTTGCGCAAATTGAGTCTCTGGACGACGTTGAATGTAGTGTATGAGCTCATGGGTACTCCGTGTTGCGTGAGCCATTTCCGGCATGGCAGAAGCTTTCCACTGTGTTGTTGACTTTCGCCGTGACGAGAAGGGACTCTCATCTCGGGCACCGCTCGCATCGGCATCATGGGATGACGCACGGAACTCTGACGGAGAGAATGAGCTACGTCCATGTTGCACCGGCTCCTTGCCCTTGCTTCGTGATCCTCGTTTCTTGTGCATTAGAATCATCTCCTCTGAACCCTGCTCCGGTGTTGTGGCCCCATGCACCCATGCAGCGCCAGCAACGCTCAGTTTGCGGAAGCGCATGATGTTTTCCGTCAAGGTTCCAGTCTTGTCTGAAAAGATATATCCAACCTGACCGAGCTCTTCGTTGATAGTAGATGTTCGAGCTTCGAACGGCGTATTTGTGACGGGATCATACATGTCGACGTCGTTGAGTAGGAACATCTGGCAAATTTTGATGATTTCCATGCTGACGTAGAGCGACAATGGAATCATCGTATTGAACATGATGAGAAAACCAGTGACCTATGAGGAAGTTCGTAATATCAGTATCTGGAGAAATAGAGTTCGCTATGGAGCGTGCTTAGGTGAAGGACTCACGATATGCGTCATTGGAACGGCTGTCCGATGCAGGTAGAAATCATTCTTGGTGGCATGATGCTTGCGCCACAGGGTATATCCAGCGGAGTTGAAGATTGTCAAGAAAAGCACAATGCAGACTATAATGAGAACCACTCTGTTGACGCGAGCTTGCAATGAGGGCGCTTTGATCCGGGGGTTCTTGTTGGAATTCATACGAATTTTGCACTCCTCTCCACTGTAGATAATGATACCGACAGCTTCGGGAGTGTTACGTAGCACACTGCCCCGGTAAATGACCTCGTTGTTGGTCAGAGGGTAGGTCTGATCGTTAATCGTGAGCTTGCCCTCGAAATTGTACAGATCCAAATTCGGATCTTCCACAACGAGGTGCATTTGTGCGGCTGCGAGGGACTCCAGGGTGTTTGAAACAGCTGCGGCCGAGGCGATTGGCTGCTTGTTTTTGAGATTCGTCTCGCCGTCCAGCGCCATGGTCTCCACGTAAGCGGCATTATTGGGTCCCTGGCTTCCTAATATAATCATATCTGCTGGAACAGCTTCATCGCGCTCCAACTTCACGACGTCGCCGACCTGTAGCGCTTGCCATTTGACACGGCCCCAGTGTATCGCCCCATCCAACTGCACTGCTTGCTGCGTTTCGTCTGTGGTCGTTCTATTGTTGTAAGCGTGAAGGACGTTGACGTAGCGATTATTCTCGTCTTTATCTAGCCGATGCCGTCGCAAATCTTCGTAGCCTTCCTTAGCCATGGAACTAGTTGTGTAGCAATCAGTATTGCTTGGTCGCAGATGTATCAATATCAAGGATGAAATGCTTACAGCGACACAAAGAAGAAGAGCGGAATGATGGTTGTGTAGTTACCGGTTGTGCTATCGAATCGTCAGCTCGCCGACTCTTTTGTGATTGGTGTCTGCTTCGCCGGAAGCGCTTCAGGCGGCAATTAGAGCATGGAAGTACCTTAGTCCGGGAATCATCTGCATGATCGAAATAACAAGAAAGTAGAAATTTGCGAATTTTCCAAATTGAGCGATCAATTGTCGAGGCACAAAGTTCCAAGGAGTATACTTCGATGACCGGATGATATTTGAAATGAATGGCCGACCGACGCGCTCGTCGATCAGCGGCTCTTTTCTGTATGCATAGTATGGGATCTGTCGGCCATTCGCAGACGGCGGGATGTCTTGAATCCGCAGAACGAACTTTCTGGCGCGCTCAAAGGTCGAGTGTAGGCTCTGAATCGGCAGATACTGATTCACTTGCTTCTCAATCCATTGTTGGGATCTTGGAGGCCTCTGTCGTTTCTTTGTAGGGTTGTGATCAGGCAGGGATCCCAGGTCATCTGGTGCGACTTCCGCGACGGTTGTGCGAGGTTGCTTCTTGTTGTCAAAGCCGCCCGCCGGTCCACTTGCAGAGGCGAAAGGGCTCTCCAGGGCCTGCATTTCGTGTGAAGTGTCCCCATGGCTCATTTGCCTCATGAATAAGGAGGACCGCAACGACATGCCTCGATTCCGCGGTTTTGACGAGGACGGAGTTTGTCCATGGTTATTCTGCGGGGTCTCCTGTCCAAGATCTTCATCACTCCTCCTCTTCTTACTTTTCCTTGTCACGTCGGAGGAGAATCTAACATGGTGAGTCTGATCAGCAACTGGCTGGCGGAGATCCTCGATTACTGTTGGTCGCGAGCTCTCATGAATGGCGCTCTCATTGCGCTCGCTGATATCGCCATGGCTAGAGTGTCTGCGGCGCACTCCTCCATCGTCGGATGGTGTGGTTCCGTCCATGCTCGCGACTCCAGGGTCCTGCTCACCCAGCTGGATCTGTCGGCGTCACCTTGTGCTTTCACGTCAGCAGCGAGGACATGGGATCACGCCGGAGATGGGTTGTGTACACAACCCGACGAAGAAACGAACAGCACCTGCATGTTTCGCGACAACACCTGGGCAGACAGGCCCGCCGTATGGTTCGAGCGTGGTGAGCGCACATCCGAGAATATGACGATCACGACGCCCGTTCCTTCTTTCGGCAAAGCCCCGCGGTCGAGGCGCATTGGTGTAAAAAAGCAACATGTCTCGGCTGCACGATCGTCCTAGACATGACCCACGTGTAAACGTCCGCACTACAAGACGAGGCCAGGCGTGCCGGGCCCAGGATACCTTCCGCTGTGCGCCTTCGTTCGTCGCACGCTTGGGAGTAGATTAACATCTTCACAGCGTGCAGATTCTGTCACAATATCACGCCCGGGCTTGTGGCTCGGAGATCTAGAAATCCTGGGTATCTCGATGTCCTCCCGTTTACGTGGGGCCGAGATTTCAAAAAGATCGCGTGCCACATGCGGAACAGACGTGAACCAGCACCACCAATGACTCATTATGATCTAGAAGTACAAAATATGATGGCAGTCGCCCTGCCGCGCAACGTCTGCATTTACTATACGACTGTGCTTGCGCAGGAAATGACTGCGATACATCTGGCAGAACGACCTCCTCTTGAGCAGGGCCAGGAGTTCCGGTCCAGTAACGTGCGGCGCATTCTCATGAGAAGCACGAGCACTGATGTCATTGTGCCCACCATAATACATACGCGTCTTGACGGAGCCTGCAAAAGGGAAACATGGAACCTTTACAGTACATCAATTCACTTTTTTTCCACATTTTATCATACAATGTCGCAATCAATCGTCCGTTAGGGGGAATACAGCAAACGTGTTCGTCATCGCATCTGGCTATTCATCACTGCCGCTGTTCTGCCTGTTGGATGGCGACATCGTGCCTGAGCTCTGCTCGCCTGATTGCTGAGCCAATGAGTTATGGGTCTGTTGGCTAGCAGCCGCGATGTGCGCTTTCTGAGAAGCGTTTTGTATGAGCATTGATGCTTGTGCAACAGGCAGCGGTGGTAGACTGTCCATTGTCGATTTTGAAAACCGCTTGCTGAAGGCCCTGACACGTGGAGTGGTGGGTGCTTGAGAATTGGTCCAACTCCATCGGTCGTCCTCGAGCCCGGGCCGCGTCCCATGGCCACATTGACTCTCTAGGTCACGCTGAATCCTAGCTGAGGCGATTCCTTTCGCAACCATATTCTTGATCTTATTCTTTGGTTTTTGAAGCGCCTTCGGCGGGATAAAGTCATCGCCCTCGTGATGCGGTTTGAGCACTGGCTCAAGGTGGCCTAATTGCGATGACATACCCGCCTTCTCTTCCGAAGGGGACTCCTCGACTGTCCTAACTTGCGTCGCAATGGTCTCTTTCTCGCTGATTCTATTCCGCGCGTGTCCAGCCTCGAAGTGCTCAATGGCAGGAGATCGAATATCCGGCACAGCTGAAGGACTAATGGTACTCGCTAAGCAGTCTTGGCGATACATAGGCAGTGCTGTGATGCCTTCCTGCCGCGTTTTTTTGGACTTTGCCGGTAGTGGATCGTCCAGTTGCGTCTTACGAGCGGCAGCGGCAGCTGCATTTCTTCTCCGAATTGCGAAAATGAGTAGAAGGAGGACTATTGATCCACCTATCCACAGTCATCAGCTTCGATCCAATTCTCTTTTCTTTTTGTCTGACGACGGCCTACCTATGGCACTAGTCACGCTAATGAGCAAGAGCGGACTTCCGGTAATGGTAGAATCAGCAGAGCCTCTTCTGAAAACTTGAAGCTTAGAACGAAGCAGGAGCTCAACGCCCTCGTGGGCCAGGTGCTCAATGTCGTCGGCTGCGTTCTCCATGTTGGCCATATTGCCCCGCCACGTCGGAGGCTTCGACAATTCTCACGAGGGCAATGAATGTGAAATCTCCTGTTGATGCTGCAGGCCTGGAGCCATCACTGCCGGTGGGCGAGGGCCTGCCTGCATCCCATGATACAGCCTGAGAACACGACCTTGTAATACTCCGATCGCAGGAAGACAGAATTCACTGAGGGGCATCTACCTACATATATACACACAAAGCGGACACCCATCTTGGTCAATTGTTTCACTCTGCTAGTAACAAGTGCGAGGTTGTGGCTAATGACCCGGTCGGCACTAAACTGGCCATGGACAGTCAGGCAAGGGATTTTGGGCTTGTTTCCCACTCGCTCGTGAAAGCCAACCACGCCGCGAACGGTCCACGTGCAGCCCCAGGGATGTACAATGTGACAACTGTATGTGAAGTAATCTAATAATGATGATACTATCCAGTAGCGATGACCGTGCGTGGTGTGTTGGTACTGGCTCAGGTGTCCACGGATGTACGGAGATACTAGACATGCTATCCAACATACAGCAGTAGTCCGCCCCCGAAACAAATCCTATGGGGCTGAGAGCATTCCTGCCCAAATTAGGAGTGTGAGGCCGGCCAACGAAACCATCCATGGATCCCGAACTTCCTGATCGAGCACCATTGTTTCACAAGTGCCACACTCGCGCAGGGGCTGCTCACATTTCTGCTTCCTGAACAACCTTGGAACACACGGAAACTCATCTATATATGTAGGACTTGAGGGCCTACCGAAGCGGGAAAGTACGCTATGTGTGCATGCCGATGCGAATCGGTCTGACAGCCGTTGTGGCACATGCTGCCTCCATGGGTCTGCTAAAGTACCTAGTATAGACTTGTTCTGTCTCGACACCGTTCGTAGGCAAAGTCAATACTGCGAACAACACAATCTGTCTACATTTTTGGATATCATGGTAGATCCTGAGTCGTGGCCGGGTGCATCCGACGTACGTAGCGCAAATATGAGCACTTGCGCTCGTGATCGCCCTGTCTGCTTGGAGGGCATGGAGGCTACGAAAATTTGAAGACAGAGCGAGGATGATTCAACGTCGCTGTTGAATGTCTACAGTACCTATCACGTCGTGTCTGAGACAAAGATGTCGGACGGCCCTGGAGGTGCACAATTATGTTGCCTCGGCTCCGCCCGCGCGGAGTCTAGTATCGTTATTCTTGGTATCTATGGATACTGTATAGTATCTCGTAAAAGTCATCTTCTCCCAGGCTCTTTTTATTCATGTCGTCGTGGACACCCCAGCATAACAGTACCGACGCTGAGAGGGAGCAATGTAAATTTCAAGGCGAGCAGTTGATGTGGAGCGATAGAATGTTCCAAGGCACAGTGTTGCAAGCACTGCAAGCTAATGTCGAGTACGATATATTCCACCCCCGGATAACAACAATAAATTACCCAGTACTCAGGCAGGTCACCATCGTGACTGAGCGCGAGCAGAAAACGGCACGAACGGGCATGACCGTGACAGCCCGAGGATTACGCACAGAGTAGGCGTAAGCGCGGATGAGTCTCGCTGCTCCACTCGGCGACGTCAGCTCAGCCTCGTGATGAGCCACACTGACGCGACTAGTCGCGCACAGGGTCTCGCGATTTCATTACCCCTCCATACTCCACGGGTGTCTGTCTCATCAGGTGTCCGCTCGGGCGTAGTAACAAGACTGCCCAGGTGAGGCAGTTGTCACATGCTTGCGTGGCAGGCAGAGTCGTTATATCAAGACGCCGCTGCTCTGCTTTGCTTCTTGTCTCTGATGTAGATCGCTCTCAAACTAATTTCTCACTACACATCTGATTCAATTTGTACTGTATAACCATCATCATTATGTCCGGACCTTATGACAACCGTGGTGGCTACGGCCAAGATTACAATCAGCAGCAGGGCCAGTATGGCCAGCAACAGGGCGGATATGGTGGTCCACAAGGCGGATACGGCCAGGACTACAATAACCAACAAGGCGGCCAGCAATACGGCCAGCAGCAAGGATATGGTAGGTACCCTTTCTTTTAGTGTCGGAACGTTTGCTCATCGAGTCCTCCAGGTGGACAGCAGTATGGACAACAACAGGGTGGCTACGGAGGACCGCCGCATCAGGTACGAACTTCAGCGTGTCAGGTTACAGCAAGATTGAATATACTTCTCTAACGTCCGAGTAGGGTGGTTTCGAGCATGGCCAGCAGAACCAAGGCTATGGTGGATCCAATGACTACGGTAGCGGCCAGAACCAACAATACGGACAAGACCAGCAGTACGGTCAAAATCAGCAGTACGGACAGAGTCAACAGTACGGGCAGAACCAGCAATACGGTCAGAATCAGCAATACGGCCAGCAGCAGCACGGCCAAAGTGGGCCCAATGGAAGCGACCCGAGCAACCCATATGGATATCAGCGCGACCCTGCGGACCCCAACAACCCGCAGGAAGGTGAACGCGGCTTCATGGGCGCCGTGGCTGGTGGCGTAGGCGGAGCTTTCCTCGGTAACAAGGCCGGCCACGGAATTATCGGCGCACTTGCGGGCGCATTTCTGGGAAGCAAGGCCGAAGACAAGTGGAAGGAATCTCGTCACGATAACAATAATGGCGGCGGCCGGTGGTAAGCAGGCGCGCAAAATCGGACAGGACTGCGTCACAAATTATCACGGCCGAGTTATTGATTGGAATTGATCAATATTGTTAGTAGAAACGCCGCAAGTGTATGATCAAAATTGCTTCTTGACTTTGTCCCTTCTGAACCTCACGATGTTGGAAGCCTCTCCCCAGAAATCTGCAATCGTTCTGGTGGGTAGACCCCGCGATTAATATAAACATGAGTGCAATGAATGATGCTTCTCAATGTCTTTCGCTGCAGTTGAATGCAAGGTACTTCATTTGTTCCCGGCAAGATTTTGCCGCGACGACGAAAACTCATTTGTGCTCTTGACCATACCCTCCCTTTCCTTCATGACTCTGATACGATAATCCCTCGGCCGCGTGTCCTTTACGCGGGCCTCTCTCCTGAAGATCCGCTCTGAGCCAGGTCATGACTAGCTGGCCGAGACGACTGTTGCCGTCCTCACCACCGTCTGTTGGTGGCACTTCGAATGAATCGATCGGGCCCCATTTCTTGATCTTACCCATCGCCATGTGCACAAGGTGCGACGGCCAATTTGCCAGATTGTCCAGGATATGGGTTGCATAGACGACTGTACAGCTGCGCGACTCCGTTTCGCGCCTGAGGAATTGCAAAAAGTTGTGGCGCGTCAAAAGATCCAGGTCAACTGTAATTTCGTCCAGGAGGAGGATCCTCCATGGGCGCAACAGTCCCATACACAGCTGGACACGTCGTCGTTCACCGTCAGACACAGCGTGGAGATGCCAGGAAAGATCCACATCCAGGATCCGCACCAGTTCATCGCGGCGGTCCGGATATGCATCGCCGCCAACGGACTTGAGCAACTCAGGCACGGCAATATCACTTCGGACGATTGGGTTCAGTACCCACTCCAGACCAAGGTAGGTTACTCCCTCGAGGCCTGTTGAGAATGGGTCGACGCCAGCAATGCTCACGCTGCCGGCGGGGGACATGCGCTTGCCAGAGAGAAGCCGCAGCAAAGTCGTCTTGCCCGCACCATTCGCTCTGAGGATTTAGCAAGTATATGTGCAGACGTGTTCAGACGGCACTTACCACCAATGAGCAAGGTGCGGGATCCCCCAGGCAGATCGAGACTCAGGTGTTGCAACCCGCTGCTACCGTCTGGAAATTTGTATGACAGATCGCGCACCTCGATCGAGGGCGCCTTCGGGGCCGCTTTTTCGGATGCCATGATTGCTGGAGCAGTATTGAATCCGGAGGGGCCGATGTTAGACCAAACGATTAATCTGCACGAAGCAAACGAGAAGAAGTGTCAGGACTGGCTTGAATGCGTGAAGAGTCCCGTTTTCTTGTTCTTGCGTGGAAGACGTTGGTTCCGATTAGTTATTAGCCTCGATGCTCCGGTGCTAGCATCTCAGCTCAGTCTAGAATCGACGCCCACTCTAGAGATGGATGGTGTCATTGATTTCCCAACGATAAGCTGGACGGCCTGAGGCTACGAAGGAGTAGTATGTCATTACCTAGGTAATGATAAGGGTGCTCAAGTGTGCAATGGTGAATATATAGGCCTTCAACAACAGGCGTGTTGGCCGGTGTACACGCACCCGTCTGCGTGTAGGAGATCCTACAAAACACTCAGTCGCGTCTCTTCATTCAGACTTTTCCAAGGTTGTTCACACGCTTATCGCTGTCTTCACTGCACTGATTAACAGCGTGAGGAATTTGCACACGATCTTGCCACGCGATCATCAGACTCTTGAGCCGTGGAGCCATCACCAATGCGTCATGTGTACAGTGACGTTTGTTCAATTTCCGTGGTACTTCTTGTGAAAGCGCAAGCACGGTCCCATGAATCCTGACCCTGCGTCCCTGACGACGCAGATCGCGACATTGCTGTGATCCAACAAGTACGTGCAAGTGGGTGCTCGCAGAATCGGTAACGCCGATATTTGTGTGTGCGTGGCTCGTTCTGAATCCTGCTGCGAGGTCTGACCTAGCGTGCGCGTGAACTTCTCTTCAATGTTGCGACAAATACCAAGACTACCAAATAGAATCTCGAATCGAGCCATGCAGACTTATGCGCGCAGGGACGCAATCATCGCCGTGGTCGGTGCAACTGGAACTGGTAAATCTCAAGTAGGCGGCTAATCTCAATCAAGGCGGTCACATGATACTGACCACATCAGATAGTTGGCCGTCGAAATCGCCAAACGATTCAATGGCGAGGTTATCAATGGGGACGCGATGCAGCTTTATGCTGGCCTTCCCATTATCACGAATAAGATAACCCCAGAAGAGCAGCAAGGTATTCCGCACCATCTACTCGGATGCATCGGTCTGAATGAACAGACGTGGGTCGTAGGAACTTTCGTGCGAAGGGCGTTGGCAATCATCGAAGACATCAGATCGCGTGGAAAGCTTCCCATACTGGTTGGTGGCACGCATTATTACACTCAAAGCCTGCTCTTTCGAGATCGACTGGCCGATCAGAGTGACAATTCCAGCCCCTCAACCTTTGTTCCGAACACCTCAGAGAAATGGCCAATCTTAAAGGAACCAACAGAGGTGCTTTTGACGGAGTTGAAAAGGGTCGACCCAATCATGGCAGATCGATGGCATCCGAACGATCGACGAAAAATACAGAGAAGCCTGGAAATCTGGCTTCAGACGGGAAAGCGAGCATCAGACATCTATGCTGAGCAGCGCTCGGAGAGAGATTCGGGATCGCAGGAGCCGGACATGCGATTCCCTGCACTGCTATTTTGGGTACATGCAGAAAAGGACGCCCTTCATGAACGGTTAGATAGGCGCGTGGACACAATGCTAGATAGCGGCTTGCTGTCCGAGGTTCAGACACTGTCCGCGTTTGTGACGTCGGAAGCTGGTGCTGGGAACATTGTCAATGAGAGGCAGGGTGCCTGGGTCAGTATAGGATACAAAGAATTTCTCCCGTACGTTAAGGCCTTAGAAGCTACAAAGCTAGATTCGGCAAGCGATCTCGAAAAACTCAGGTTGGAAGCAGTCGAAAAGACAAAGATCAGCACGCGACAATACTCCAAATCGCAAATAAGGTGGATTCGAATCAAATTAGCGAATGCACTGCGCGATGCCAGTGCAGACGACCGCCTCTTCCTACTCGATAGTTCGAATGCTTCGCAGTTCGATGAGCATGTTGTTGAGCCTGCGCTCTCCCTGACGACCAAATTCCTCGACGGAGGCGCCATGCCGAAGCCCACATCGCTATCGTCGCTCGCGGCGACACTGCTTCCACCAAAGCAAGACTATGACCTATCTGCAGAGCCTGAAAGGTGGTCGAAACATCATTGTGATATTTGCAATGTTACGTGCGTCGTGGAGGAGCAGTGGCAGAAACACATCAAAAGCAAAGCGCACCGAAAGCTCGCCAGCAAGCAGCAACGTGAAGCGCAAGCAACGCTCACGCCAACAGACATTCCAGAGGACCATGAAGCCCGCGCTTGACAATGATCACCGTACTTCAGCTATGGCTTAAAATTGTTCCACGGAAGGGTTGATTGTGGACCGACGCCACATCGCTCATTCCAGATTGACAACCAACATATTATCTAGGTCCAATTATTCTCTACAAAACAAAGTATTTGTACGTGTGGCCAGAAGGGCCGTCGCAGCGCCGAATTGCCTGCAACGCAATCGCTGAAAACTCCAGGAAATGCTCATGCCCTTTTTGAACGCCCGTAAATACAAGGCAAAATACCACAGAACCGAAGAAACGCGACCCGATAGCATGCCGAGTTCATGCTGAGTCTCAAGATTGAGACTAGTCTCTGAGCCGCCCGAGAAGCTTCTGTCCACTCAGAAGAATCTTGTTCTTTCGTCGCGTCTCGTCTTGTGTCACAGATGCGTCTGGGTCATCTGTAGGCGCACTCGCGTTGGTAGCAGAGCGTATTCGCTCACCGAATCGAGAAAACGAAGCCGTCCGTGGTCGATTCGCCTGTGAAGACTCGTCAGTAAAGCTCTGTCGACATGATCTCGCATTGATGCGCAATTTACCTCGATCTTATTGCCGTTCCCTGGAGCGACATTTCCTGTCCGCGAAGCCGAAGGCCGTGATGACAAGCGACGATCATCATGCTCGGCAGTAGGAAAGGCCTCTGCAATTTCGTCGGCACTGTTGTCGTCAGATTCACGCAAGGACGGTGCGTTATACAGGCTCCTGCTCATGACGCTACTAGTAGGTCTTGCGCTTCGGGGCCTGGTGGAACTCTGGAAGCTCCCTCCCAGGCTTTCCGTGTCTGACTGTTTGTCTTCCCACTCAGCTGGCACCGTTTCTGCAGCAACAGCGCTATTGAAAGGACTGGTGAACGTGTTCCGGCTGACAAGTTCTCGCAGGCGAGATTGCTGTTGGCGGCTTGGCTTGTGAGATTGGAATTTGTTGCCGACAATAGCGCCGGCGTGTCCGATCAGTGCGCGGATGACATCTTTTTTGAGCTGTAGTGCCAGGTCCAGGTTCGACCAGGTTTTGTTACGATACTCCAATGTGGGCAGTCTGAAAACGAGATCGCGTACATCTTCAATGTTACGTTTGCCTTGCCCTTTATAGGAGAGACACAGAACAAGACTTGGGATTTTGACGAACGCAAGTGTCATGTAGTTGGAAGCCCGATTCATCATTTGCGTGAGATCGTCGGAAATAGGCTCTTTATCCTTATCTTTATCCTTGCCCTTCTTCTTTTTGTCGTCACTGACAGAGCGATGGAGCGGCAGTCGCTTCGACTTTTCCGTTATGGTTATCCCACTTCCAGTGCCGCTCTTGAGAGTGAGCAGGGATCGGTCGCTCGAAAGACGAGTCACTGAGTCGAGATTGACCTGCGCCAAATTCTGTCGCGGCGTGGATGCCTTGCTTGAGCGAGGCCTATCGGTGTGGTGGAAGAGGGAGAAGCCAGATAACGAGTTGCTGGAAGATGAGATTCCGAGACCTTTCGTTTCGGCCTTTGCTTTCCGACCATTTTGCAAAGCTAATGTGGGCTTTAATCTCTGTTCTAAAGCGCCTGGTCCGTCGGGGTCTGCCAGTCCTTTCAATTGACTCATATCATCGAAGCCATTGACCTGGGCGGGATCTGAAGCATGCTCAGGAACATCAAGTTCGTGTTCTGGTACCATATTCTTGACCATGAAAGGTGAAAAGCCGCCTCCCTCGAATGCATTTCCACCAACACCAGGGAATATATACTCGAAAAGCTTTTTAGCGACCTCACGTTCAACTTGTAGCTTGAGTGGAACCACATCGATCTCGAAATAATCCACGACAGGAATGCCTGCTATAGCCTCGAGCATGAGCCAGTGGATGCGCAGCATTTTCATGTTGTGCAAGGGACGACCGCCTCTGGCGTTGTCTGTGAAAGGAGCAATGATTTCTGGGTACAGAGCATCATTGAGCAGATTGTAACCATTGATGCGTCCGATTTCCATGGCGTTGTAGTTTGAACCGTCGCTGTTATCAGTACGTTTGAATGAGGCGTTCTTTAGCTGGACTTCCATAAGTGACTCTCCCTTGTCTCGTATAAGATGCCATGCGATTTCTTTGGAGGCGATCTGAGTGTGCAGAATACCGGTCGAGTTCTCTTGATCCCGACGATCTTCTATACGCTGTTGCGAAGTCGTAATCGCTTTCATCATGAAGAACAGTTCATCTTCACAGCCTGCGAGGTCTTGGTCCATGGCAATGCGGTCTTTCCAGCCTTGCCGATCAAGATATTGTTCATTGACTTGGAATTGCATCTTGATCTCCTCTAATTGGCGGATGCGGTCTTGCAGCATATAAACCATTTCGGGAGCTCCTGTCAAATCGCTGAAGTCCGAGGCCAGCATGATCTTCTCGAGGCGCTCACTGCGCGTTTTTTCCAGAGGCTCGCTGTAAAGCAGCAGATCCATGACAATGACGTACATTGCGAAGTATTGTGTGGAGTCGCAGATTGCTCGTAAATGAGGGAAGCTCACCCAGACATGGTCCATGCGATCTTCAGCCTCCTGGGCGCTTTCTGAGGTCTGAGGATTGCCCCCCGAAATATCCTCATTGTATTTAAGACGAAGCTGATTGTACTTGTCATATCTTAGGCTGGCCGAAGTGCGATGGATGATCCGATCAAACCCATAGGGACTAGACTGATATTGGAACATCACTTCCGTTGGGACCCATGGCGGCCAATGCGTGCCAGCCTTCGTACCGTAGCGGTTTGCAGAGTAGAAGTGGACTTGATCAGTAGAGAAAGTCTTCGTACTCGCGACAAACATTTGTAGACTGTCAGCTGTGGCCATGAAGCGGCGCTGAACCAAGCCGCTCACGTCGTCATCGATTTTGTCCTTCTCCATGATCTGCACGACCTTGAGCTGCATGCCCTTGGCAGTGACGAGGACGACGGACTTCGGATGCTTGTCGCTCTGCAGTTGTACCTGTGGGGCAATGAGACGGAAGTGGTAAGTGTTGAGAGGCGTGAATTCCACCGATACGTCTTCAGCTGGCTCCTCTGGTGTCTCGACAGAGTCTGTGCTGTCTCGTGTTGCCTCGTCGGCGTTTACAAAGCTTCGCCCATCGCGGAGCAGCTCGTCAATACGATCTTGAATGGTCATCTCATCGTCTGCTTCCGGAGACATCGGTGGATACTCCGAGGAACGGGTTTTTTGACGCTTTGGTGTTGTCATTCCATCAACCTTACTTCGTCTTTCCTCCACTACGTCAAGGAGAAACTTGATAGCTTTTCGCGACATGTAGTACACGAAGCCGCGGCGTTGGCTATTCTGGTGAATGTACCTCAAGATGATGTTGCGCAATGAGTTGTTCCACTTGATCTGAGCATTGTGCACGATGAACCGATTGTTGAAGTCGCTTCTGTAATCTGCGAGTAGTTGTTTCGAGTCAACGTGGGAAAGAGGATCGGGGTCGTCTCCTTCTTGAGCATCTTCGTGAGCCTCAAAAAAATTGCTGCTAGCATCTAAGTTTGGCATAGCAGCCGGGTCAGCTTCTTGTAGTCGTTGGAGCAATTTTTGAAGCATGTCCTGTAGAAAGTCATGTTTGGCGCGTAGGTGCTCACTGTGTCCTCTGAGTGTTTCTAGTGTAGCTCGGAGGGCTTCATTTGTGGCTTTATCACCTTCGGAACTCTCGCGCACCACTTTAAGCTCCTGCTCACCAACAGCGCGAGAATTATGAGCCTCTTTCTCTTTTAGAAGGGTGAGGCGCTTTTCGATCAATTCAGCTTGCACTCTTCGCGGATCATTATCAGCAGACATGACGCAAAAATGGGTCGGTTCATGACCGAAAGTGCTGGTCCTGGTTGGATCATTGGAAATCTTGTCCTTGTGGTCTGTCTGTCGAAAGTAGGTGAACCGAGGCGCGTATCCCAATGGAAGTATCTTGGTCTCTGGGTCAGAGTCCGTGGGCAATATCCAATCTAGTTCGACGAAATCATCCATGTCTATCCAAGAGAAGTCATTGTCGGGTATTTCAAATTTCGAAATATCCACTGACGGAGCTTGTGTGTGAAGTGGCATAAATGTCTCATCATTGCCCTTGTCTAGCGCGTCGGTGTTCGTCCCTGCTATGCTGGCCGAAAGCGCCCGCAAGTCAGCGGAAATAAAATCCAGCTGTGCTTGGTTTATGCGGATAGCACTTGTCTTCTTCGTTCGTGCGCCATCTCGAGCTTTCAATTCGAAGTGCTCTCGGCGTTGGTGAAGATCCAGCATGAAACTATCGAGCCGCATCTTCAGACCTGTGGCCGACACGATGTTGGACGCATAATCCTCTGCATCCTTATGCTTGTAAACGTGGCTGACGTAAAGAGGAGAGAGTAGCAGATTGTACTTCATCGTCGCGAGGTGCCGGCCGAACTTTTTGCTCTTCTTTTCTGTCGTTCCCCACAACGGACCTTGTCGTATTGGGAGAGACATCATTCCAGAAAACATAGACCACCAGCTGAAGAAATGTGAGAAGAAGCGAGGCGTGAGGTGGACCGAATTGTAATTATTCGAAGCTTTGGTGTTCGACAAGGACCAGTCGCGATCATGCGGAGCAGCGATTGCAATCGACATGTGAATGTATTGACTTCGGAAACCTCGATATGCATCGTATTCTTGACCAGGTGGAGCTTGAGCAAAGTCGGGATGCTTCAGAACGACATCGTAGTGGTTCTTGGAGGCAAAGGTCCGGCCTCCATTAGGGGTATCCCGCTCAAACATCAAGCCAACCAACCAATTGACTTCGCCGGACAATTTCATAACAACTTTCTGAAATACAGCGTCCTTCTTTGTGCTTGCAGAGCTGATTGAAGATCCGTTATCGTCTTGCCCATGTACGGTCTGTGCTTGACGGGCATAATTGCTGAGGTCTGGTACAGCGAGGATGTACTCCCCACTCTCAACCTGCATAAACTTGCGGGGGTCTGGGTCTTGACCAATTTTCCAATTGACATCGTTACGCCAAACCATGACGAGTCCTGCCCCTTGACCAGTGACAACGTACGGGTCACGCGAGCCTTTGAGGATGAAATGAAAGTCGCCGTCACCTTTCCATGCAACGTTGACCCTGGAGTGGAAGGAAAGCCGGACTTTGTCCCAGAATCCGACCTTGTCTGATGGGTCAAATGGAGGCTTGGTAAACCCCTCAATAGCCTGCATGGCTTCTTGAATGGCTGGTTGATAGGAGGTAGACCATGTCAGCTTGGTTGGATTACTCGTGTTAATTTCGAATTTGATGTCTGAATAGGTCTTCATGGCAGAGATTGTCCTTTGCACGTTGACTGAGTAGGCCTTTCCGGAACCGTCACCCATCTTGCTGGGCGGAACGACTTCTACGCACACTGAACGTTGCGATTTTGCGTCTCGGTACTCCTCCGCAATAACGAAATCAGTCCGCATCGATAGCGCTGGCAGGCGTTGCGACTGAGCACTGCTCAAGGGTGGTACATGTAGGAGCATCAGAGGATAATCGCGAAGCTTGACTCGAGCTTCACTCATAGTAATGTGCAAGTTCATGGGTATGACTAGACCGTATTTCATATCCATTGGCATTCCTTTACCAACCGTGTGAAGGAATTGAGGAAAGTCCATGACTGGGAATGAAGGCTTATCAATGACAATGTTCAGTTCAGTGAAGGCAATCAACATAAGCCCAGGTCTTTTGCTCATGGCTAATATCGGTTCGTGTTGTTCCGCATTTTCAGGCAAGTCGTCCGAGCCCCAAAACATTGTCCTCATGTCGGCGATGGCTTGATGTTGGAAACTCATGACTCTATCGATGCGACTCTTCCATGACTGAGAGTTGAAAGAATCAAGACGGGCGCGGGCCTGATCCAACGTCACGCGGTTGCTGTCACTAAACTGATTCTTCCCGCCGGCATCATATCGCATGCGATGTCTAGGCTGACGAGGGCTATGAGGGGGACTTAGGCCATCTGCAGCATGAGCGCTCTGACTCCGTCGATGGGCGGATTCAGGGGCACTAGCTTGTCCATGAGCACGCTCGGCTGGAGTCGCAGATTGAGTACGCATGCGTGTTTGCCCTCGATGAGACGTGCGTGCAAGACGCTTTACCTTTAATTTAAAGGCCTCCTCGCGCGCCAACCTTTGTTTCTGCTCCAGAAGACCGGCACGGTAGATAGCCCCGAGCTTCCATTCAAAATTGCTGTCTTCAATGTCGAAGAGAAACGTCTGAGCTCGAACGATGATCCTGGGCACCCTCTTGGGCGCCTCGGGTTCTTTGCTCAATATGCTATCATTGTTTCCGGTGACAAAGTGATGATGCATTTGTTTGGTGGTTTTGATGACGTTGGTTATGTTGTCGAAGATATTATGGACGACCAGAGAATGAGGTATCGCGAACCGAATCGTCTCTGTTGTTGCCTCTAGAAGCTTCTCAGGAACAAATGACTTTCCAACCTTGCGTCTGGTTTCGCGCAGGTCCAGTCGAAGTGATTTGACACTAATAATTCGACTCCAAGCAGCTTCCATTCGGGGAACTTTGACGTATAAACGCACAAGCCGTGCCCGGAAGAAGGGATGCGACCAGCGATGGCGACCTGTTTCAATGTTGTAGACTTGTATCATCATCGGAGGGTCGGCGGGCATTTGTGCTTTGATCTGGAAAAGATTTGACTTGAAATCAAAGCTTGTGATTTCGCGAGCTTCCATATCATTGGCTTTAGCATCCAAGATTGTTGCATCAAGACCATTGCTCGCCGATGTGGTTCCGTCGGGATCTCTTCCTGGCTCCAAAAATGTTCGTTTCAATGCAAGAACTGCGATTCCGATTGCGAAGTGGTTGTAGAGGGAATATTGCAACAAAATGGTTTTGGCATGCGAATTGACGTGGAAAATCGGACCTTGAGCATCTGTGGACGTGGAAAATGCGACCTCAAAGCGAGGAAGCGACATGAAAGATTCAGATTGTGATTCTTGAACGGAGTCAACGATCAGGCCTTCGACGTTTTGGAGGTGGACCACCAGTCTTCTTCCGTCAGCAAAGCTTGGCTCCACTCGTTTCCGTAGTGTTTCTGTTTCGATCGGTGCTGCATGCTTGTCTCGACCGCTGATAGATCTATTGGTCGGCCTCCGGGTATGCTTGACGCCTTGTACGCGCTGATAATGTGCCGAGTATTCCACTGTCCACGATTCCAGCTGGATTGCTATGCCCCTGGTATCTTCTGATACGCTGTTATCGACACCTCCTAGCTCGAGCCCAAAGTCGGAGCCTTCCAGTCGGAAGCGTTCTAACCAGATGGGCATACTGCGAAGGAAATTCATATGTTTCTTACGGTGGCTTTCATTCCGCACGAGACCGCTCCTCCGCAGCTGTTTCACGATTTGCCTGATGCCCTTGCAAATGTCTGGGCGCACCAGGAAGATCGTGAAGGTTTGTGCACGTGCAGTTGCAGTCACAGAGATTGCTGGGACTGCGTTCACATCCACCTGGACCTCCACAAAGTCACTACGTAGTAAATCATATCGATCACCCGCTGCGGTCTGGTAATACAAGCGGTGTCGCGAATGCCGATAGTACGAACTGAGACTGTAGTGGTTCTTGCCATCTGCATGCGACGATTCACATTCCAACGCAACAGAGGAAACAGCAGACACCAGAAGATCAAAATCGCCATCGTCAGAATTAGATTTATCCATAGGCGGCAAGGAAATCCTAATGACGGGTTCCTGAATGGACAATTTGAGGTGAGCCTTGGGCAAGAGTCGGGAGATGAGATGATTTCTGTCTCGAGGTACCCCATGGCCACCGCTTGCGCGCCTTTGCTTGAGCATCTCCTGGATCAAGGGTAGATGTTTCGGATCCAAGTCGATTGATGGAGACGTACAGACAAGGTTGGCGTACAGTATGTTAGTGTTCCTCTCGGATGGATCGTCGGCGCGTAGATAATGTATTGTTCTCGATGGCAAGGTGGTCTTGATGGTGGCAGTGATCATGGGAATGTAGAGCATACGTTCGGGATGCTCAGGTCCATCGTCAATGCCCGCAGAGATTGCAATACCGGTCAACAAAGCCTGATGAGCGATATCCTTGGTCGAGAAATACATTCTGTGCGCTGGACTTCTGGGATCTAGGCGCAGTATGTCTAATCCCAGCTCCTTCATGGCTACATTTAAATAGACATCTCCATTGCTTTCGGTTGCAAATGAAAGCCTCCGTGACACGCCAATGTAACCAACAGCAAATTGGACTTCTTGGATACCACGGAGAATAGAGGCAATAAACGCCCGTGAATCCGAGACAGCTCGCACAATTTGTCGGTTGCGACTACCTGGTTCTTCCATCTCATCTATCACGTCCGCAAACGAAACCTTTACAGCTTCTTGTGCCGGTCGCGACTGCGCGCGCGTCTCTCTAAGCATATCGATGCGCCGCTTTGCGTGCTCAATGTCGTCCCAGGGCACAGTCAGACGACCTAGTTTAAGGGCTATGGATGCATCACGCAAACCTTCTCGCTGCTGCTGCAGCATCCCATGTACGTTGACTGTGCAGTAGTCGAGGATCTCTGTGGGTTCACAGCCTTCAGCCCTAAACAAAACGCTTCGTATGAGTACCTTCCACTCGGCAGGGCTGTCCGTAGCTGGTTGCTGCTTGTGATGCTGGAACAGCCTGCTGCGATCGACAATCTCTTTCCGGGTGTCTACCGAGAGGGTGAGTCGCTCCACTTGGAGTGATCCGACGCCTACCACCTCGATCGTCATAGCTGTCGCCACCAAATCCAGTAATCGTAGCCAAGTGATCTGGCTGTGTATTCTCTTGATCCTTTCTTTCGCTTGCGTAAGCCTCCGCCATAAACGCCCGTGCCCATCCTCGTCATCTTGCTCGGTCTTGTCGTCCGAGTCATGCGCCTTGCCGTCTTGGTGATCAAATGCGCTAGACTGCTTCTCTGGGGCTGTCGATAATGCCTGCAGATCGATAGTCACTGTTAAGTCTTGTACGAGTAAGCTGCAAAGAGTGGGAAGCGCGAACGTCTTGCGGTGCAATGACAACCCAAGACCACGAACGCTGACCTTCACGCCATGTCGAGGAGAGAAAACGACTCGTCGCAGTCCAGATAAACCGATGCGCTGGATTGAAACGCCAGTCACGATGCGTAAGACGGCAAAGATGACGAAGCTGAACAGATAAGAGCCTACAACGATCCCTGCTAGGAAGGAGACGGACGGAAGTGGCATGGTCGTGTCGCCATGAGGGCCGAATCCGAACGAATCGTGTGACTAGAAGTTGTCGTCGTCGGGCGTGTTAGCAGGCGAGAAGTACGAAACGATTGCTGGTATTCCTCATCCTGAACAGTGGTCCGAGGAGTGGGCTAGTGGCATTGTGAAGGTCAGGCTTGTCGTCAAGTGCTCTTTGCGGCGCGGCATAACGACACAACCTCAAATGATGCATCTATTGTATCACTATATCGGATGCTCCGTTCCCCGGAATTTCGGAGCTGTCGCGGAAGGGCTTAGGTCAAGGTCGAAGATGTCACGTGGCTTCGCGCCGCGAATCCGACACGACCAGACGATCCTGGTCGCGTTTTATGACTTCGTGCTTTGCGGAGCTCGGCTATAATCTGCCCATGTCTCAGTGTTTGTGCACAAAGAATGAGAAAAACGTCAAATCAGATGTGCAGAAATCGCATATGAGAGCGCGCGCAACTCTTCCCACGATGAATCAAGAAATACTACATTCCTCAAGCCACGCTACCTGCAAAGCAATGGCGCTTATCGTTGAGCAGCCGCACGAAGGGCTCTGGCGCACATATGGACGGCTGGTTGGAGTGATGTCGTGCTCTATGCACAGTGCCATGTAGTTCAGAGCCCTGGTCTCTACCAAGAGCAAACCCTGCCTAAATTAATACTGTGTGCAGATATAGAAGGTGCGTCAGTGCACTTGCATGCTTGATCATGATATCGCGAAGTTCTTTTTATGTTGAATTTATAAACGATTCTCGAAGAAGTAGCTCGTAACCCAACTTGCGCTAAACGACTGTACCGCGAAGCACATGTGAAGTGAATCGAAAAGTCTTTACATGCGAAAGCTCCAGCGCAAAATTTACAGACACCCATTGACTCGACACGTCCACACGTTATCGAGGATTGACTGGCTGTGAGTTGCGGACGTAGGCAGCAGCTGCACTACGGCCACACACATTGCAAATGCAAATTCCTGGAGTGCTGTCCGCTATTCCTTGGGTAGGATCTTTTGACCCAAATTCGGTCTGTGCCATGAATTACGACGGGTACTTCCAGATGATCGATTGCGATTGCTGTGTGCGGGCAGTATCATTGAGATGCCAGCTTCATGCAATACGCAACTTGAGCTGTCTTGCCTAGAAAACGCTGACTCGTATGTTCTGGTAGCAGCGCATCAGATCATGCCCACTGCAGATCGCATCGAAGCAAAGAGCCAGTTTTGGAGCTTTGTGTGGAGGTACATCACAATGTGAGTGCCAACGCGGATAGCGAAGTGTTTCGCGCGAGGCCAGGGAATCGCGTTATACATGCTGTCGATCAAGACCTCGGAATGAATGGGAGTATTGGAGCTTTGGGTGCCGCGTCTTCTCGCCGATCGTTTTAACTTAGCTCGGGTTCGCCTCAGCCATTTGTGTATCGGCTTCGGCCACCGGGACAGCACTACCATCGGCAGAAAATATTCGATCTTTGACCACAGAAGCAAGGATACCCGTCTTTTCTTCGTTTGCGATCTTTTCAGCGGCTCTGACAAGCTTAGACAACTGCTCGTCTCGGCCATTGCCCTTTCGCCCGCCTGTATTGCTGGCTATGCCAGTACGTCGCTGTGTTCCCTCGTGCACCAATTTTGTCTTTGCGGCTAAATCTTCAATCTGCTTTGTCACGTAATCTTGATTTGTGTCAAGAGGGGAGGACGACAGTGTTTGTACCCAGTATTTGTTCCCGAGCGCCTCCAGGAGTTTGCTATCGAGAGAAGATTTGAAGTGCAGAACCTCTAGAGGATAGTATCTGTCGGCGTGAGCGCCGAAGTCTTGAGCTTTTGCCATGGGAACAGCGCCTGTGCTGTCCGCGATTGCGTCGGACGTATCGGGCTTGTAACCTTCAGGATATGTGCGGAACGCGCCGATGTCCACCTTTTCAGCACTGATCGTTCGATGCGGATCGATGACGACGGCCACAAACGGATCAGTAAATTGCTGTTGCGCATGTTGCGTGCCGACGTCAATACCAGACAACCAGCAGCCATAGCCCGGATGACTATGGTACCAACCCACCGCATTCTCCAGCTGTCCATTTTGTCTCGACATTTCCAAGAACTTGACGATGTATTCGTTGGCCTCATCTTGGGCATTGACTCGAGTTTCGGTACCTTCGACTGGTAATCGTACAGCGTCTGTGATGATGAATGTTTCATGATCTACGTGACCGAGCATCAAGCCCATGACTTCCAGATCCCCACCAGATCTTGCGTGTGTGACCATCTTTACAAGAGCCACTGCCGAAATTCGTACATACTTGAAGTGATGGGGGTCTGATTTCCATGGCTTGACTGATGAAATTTGTTTCTGCTCGGCGGAGTCATAGTTGAAAAGAGCATCGCGAGTCGGATCGACTAGGCTTTGCGTCGCCATGATTTCGATGTGGCAATGAAGCTCTTGGCTGCACTTGGATCACAAAGCCGCAACAATTTAGCCAAAAGGCCCCCAAGTCGGTATGTAAGCTCAAGCTCGAACTCTCAGTCACGATGTGTCACGTCTTGTTATTAGACCGGCTGCAATCTTTATGCTGTGACTTTCCACCGCAGGGCTCGTGAGACTTGATGTGTGTACTGTTGCAACACCTCATTGCGCCATCCAGATTGCGGCGCTGACTCGACGGCCTGGAACAGTTGCGTTGCTGCACCAGTGCCCCACTCCTGGACGTGCTGTCCCATGGCGCCTGGCGTTGAGTGACCGATCACGTGAGTAAGGGTCATCCCCGCGTGGTGCACAGCCGCACGTGATGCACACCTCCAGCCATTTTCCACCCTCAACTTCAATAATTAATAACTTTACAACGAG